AATTCTGTTTATTTTCTCGTATTTTTTTATATTCAAACCCGGAAAGTCGTTTTCGTGACGACATGGTCAATGCGTAATTGTATAATATTATAACAAATATTGAATGATTTATAAACAAAAAATAATATACAAGTTTNTGATTTATAAACAAAAAATAATATACAAGTTTTTAGATAGCAAAAACTACCAATAATTAAAATATCTTTTTTTATAATCTACGAAGTATAAATAAAATTAAAAATACTTGAGCTCTATTAATCTTAGCAAAAACAATCAAATATAATAAATACCGATTATCTTTTACTTTGACATCGTCTTAAACCGTATTCCATATGTTGTTCACCGATGGACGATTGTTGAGAAATGAAATTCAGTAAGATAAAAATTGGTCTAAACTCTCGTTAAATTCGACAAATGTATAACGCACAAAATAAAAATACCAACAGGTGACGGTCGTTTTTCTCATTATCAGTAAATAAAATAGGTTTTTGGGAATACCGGCCACACGGGTAGTGGGCAATAATCTAAAAGGTATATATATATATATATAGTTATAAAAGTATTCACTATAATATAGTGTATATATGTATAGTTATATTATAACTATGCACTGATCAATCGTAGTCACAACAAAATAGCGGAATTAATACGATAACAGTGTAGACATAAAATATTAATATTACTTCATTTTTTTTTCGACGATTATTAATTTAATTTTGCCGCCTCAATATATTTAAAATATTTTGCCGCCCTAAAGCAATGCATGACTTGCTTGTACCCTAGCGACGGGCCTGATGATACCGACTTATGTGTGTGTGTAATTTTAGCTTCGATGAGAAGGTATTAATTTTACTAAGATGTGTTTTTTTTTATTTATTATTTATTTTTTAATAATTGATTTATAAGATAATATAAGTTATTACGTAATCCAAAAAGGCGCCCAATTACTTAATACGTAATCAAAAAGGCGTACAATTATCTATAACACCTATATACGTATGTATCCAAAGGGACGCACAATTACTTATAAATATATATATATAGTTGTCGCGTTCGCTATCACTATCTACGCCAAAAAAAAAAGAAGACTAACAGAAAAATATACCAGTTCAGGTGAACGTCGAAAACGGAACAGAACGCAATATCGATAATCNATTTTGCCGCCTCAATATATTTAAAATATTTTGCCGCCTTAAAGCAATGCATGACTTGCTTGTACCCTAGCGACGGGCCTGTTAATAATGCATTATTAATAAGTGCTTTAAATAAAAGACAAGTTGTTATTTTTTTTATTTAATAATTATTACCTACATTTAAAAAAAACCGATAACAAATTTAAAAATAAAAACATAAGATAAGGTAGCAATAGCCTGCTTGACCATCATAATTAAAACACCTAATTCCACACCTAATTGATTTTTCATAAATTCACAACTAGTGAGAGAATCAGAACTCAGTAGTTTAGCCAGTTCAGGACAAAACTTTGTTCTAATCGTCACATACTTCCCAAAAATGTGACAGATAAGGTGTTGTCATGAGTAGCGATTGAACGAGTTGAAAATAAGAAGACTCGAAGTCAACAATTTAATAATAATTCGACTATAATTTATGCTAAATAAAAACTTAAAAATAGTATTCTCTCGTTTCATCGTTTCATGGACATCATTCGAAATAACTTTTATTCGATTATATACATTTCAAGATCAAGAAATCATTGTTTTTATAATAAACGAGAAATCATTAGAAATAATCACTCGATTATAGAATAATCAATATTATTTAAAAAATCAGAATATCTCGATTATATAATAGATATGATTTCAATAATCGAAATATCTCGATTATGCCCATCACTACTTAGAAGGCATTAGTCATTCAAGAGATGCCGTAGCCCCAAATAATTAAGAAAATATATGTATTTTTATACAAAACTAAAATTTAAGATGAGGCAAAAATCCATTTAGCACTTCCAATTTTTTTCATAAATGAACACCAATGTATATAATGTATTCGATTTGATGCTCGTCAACCATTGGTTCATAACTAAAATTTAATTATTTATTTTAATATTAAAAAAGTTTAAGGTGTATTTTTTAGTATGATGCCAGCATTTTACAGTGATAGTTTGAGGTGAGACACGGATATTGTTATTTTTATCATTTCCGGGCCTTGCTATTCCTCCCGTCAAAGTATAAAAATGTCAATAACCACCTAAATACTGGTACAAAAGTTGTTATGGACTAATAATTTTCTTAATTATATCGTTATCTATTAAATAAACTAGTTAATTATGTTGCCATTTGAAAAAATAAAGTCGACGTCATTATAAGCTATAAAGAATGAACACAAAAAATACTTCATTATTGATAAATTGAAAAAACATATACCTTAAAGAAACCAAAAAAAATTCTGAAGGTTATTTTTATTTTTTGATCAATTAAATGAAAACTGTATGTACATTGTGTTTAGATCTTAATCACTCATTACAAAACCAAAAGAGGATAATATTTCGAAAACGATCTTATATCCATTTTGAGAGTAACCTAAAAATTAAGCATGATAATTAAATTTGAAAATGTACTGTTTATTATAATAAATCGTAATTAATGCTATATTTTTAACGACGAATATGAGATCTTCTCCAAAATATTATTGTTTTGATTTAATAATGAGTGTTATTACTCTAAATGCAGTACATAGTGTATAAAATGCATTTTTCACACTCGAAAATTGGAAACACGACGTCCTCTTAATTTTTTTAACTTATCCTATCTTAATTACAGACATACGTTTTTACGTTCTAAATTCTTTCCCAATTTAATTTTTAATTTCACTAATTGCTCAAAGCTCTATTTTTATCTATATCATTATAAATTTTCAAAACATTAAGAATCCAAAACATTTTTATGAAATAATTTTTAATAAAAACATTAATTAATCTACTGCAAATTTGTTTATGATAGAAAGATACACTAAAATTTAATTATCTTTAACAGTACTTTATATATTTTAGAATTGATTTTTATATACAATTTTATATTTGTACACATAAGTATCATTTAAGTTTTTTAATTACGTACTTGAATAGCATATCAAATTTTATGTATTAAAATGGAACTTATAATTCGTAAATTTGAAATAAATAATTAGATAGGTTAGTTTGACATTTTTAATACACAAGTTGATTTGACAACCAAATATTGTAATTTTGTCATAAAGTGTGCCTATGAAAAATTCGAAAAAAATATGATATTTTTATCAAAAATTTTCTATGCACTGTTATGTGCGTTAAACACATCTATATATGTTTGAACAAATTCGGACATTTTTTTGAAGAGTGTAGGTACATTACAATATGTATTAAGTGATAATTTAAACTTATACCGAAATTGTAATTATCTTAAAAAAAGTAACCAATTACTGATACGACCATAAGTAAAGTAAAATTTAAAGGGTCTGGATATTGATGAAAAAATATTTTCTTGAAATAAATGCATATGACTCATCATTTTTAGGAACTTAAAAAAGTATGAAGCTTTTCCAAGATTTCCAAATTTCCGTCTAAAGTAATGATCATGCATAAAAATAATAAAATGAAATCAACTATAGTAGGATAATGTCATCTTTTGATTTATATCTAAGTAGTAAAATTTGAAAAAATAATTATTCTTATAAAAACAAATAACTTGTTATTATTTTAAAATATTTTTATATAATACTATTTTATTTACCAAGGAGTGTAAACATTCTTTTTTTTTTATTTATAACTTAATTGTTTTGGTCGTGAGGGATAATTTAAAGTAAGTATAATTATGAAAATAAGTATAATTTAAACAGTGTTAAATTCTTGTAATTTTTTCTCTAAAGTATAATATTTTAATTATTGAATCGTATACATAACCCATACATTTATTAGCATTGGTATATTATTTTTTGTCGAATAATATAGGCTACTTAAATATGACACAAAGAAGTAACATATTTGCTAGACTTGTTACCTCCATGAGGAACTTACTTAAGAAAAAGCCTAAAACTGAAATCAGCACACCTGTAAGTGTTATTTTTATGAAACATACAAGTGATTCAAAGAGTAGTGAAGCTCAACTTACACCAGAATCACCTCCATCAATACCCTCAAAAGTACAAGTATTTATGGATAAGAAGGAAAATGGTTTGTACTTATTTTGTATACATATAACCACAGTTTATAAGTTCTTACACATACATTATTTTTATAATTTTCTGAAAAGACTTAGTGCAAATTTATTATAAAATATTACAACGGCGCGAACAAATTTTTTGAAAAACATCAAATTTCTATACATTGTTAGTTTAATACATTGCTTAAATGTAGATTCAAGTAAAAATAAAGTTCATTTAGATATTAATGACTTCAAAGTTACTGGTACAAAATGTGAAATGAGCAAGCCTCGCCTTGGAGGAACCGCCTATTTAATCCTCCACGCCAGATAAGTATATTAAAATGAGGTCCGCAGTTCATACAAAATGTATTAATATATGAACCTCATTTTAATTGCACCCTTTTATGAAATAAGAATTTAGTTAACAAGAACGATATACAGTTTACTCAATTTAGCTTAGATTCAGGAAAGACAGAATCACTATTCAAATCATTTTTATTTTTAATTTATTTATTTTGCACAAGTGTTTTGAGTATTACAACTAAAAGTTATTTAATATGCTTAATCACCACACCCAAACCCATCGCAAAATATTTGACTGATATTAAGAATTTTTACTATATTACTATTAGCTAAATACTATTTATTCGATGTATTNGTCTACAAAATATATAAGAACACAATTTTTACTATATTACTATTAGCTAAATACTATTTATTCGATGTATTAGTGGGAAATTTTATTTAGTTATTTTTTAGTTAAAATAGAATATTTTAGTGCGCCAAATATATTTTATAACACCAAATTGTATAGATCTTAACAAACACAAAGGCACTCTAATATTGTAACTGTCTATATAATTCAATGACGCTGTTCCCTATGCAAATGTAATGCATATTTTGAACTAAAATGTAAAATTTTAATAAAGATCTTTGAAATAATATTTTCTAGATAATTGCTATAAATGAATTGAATGAGTGATAATAAGTATCTCTTATTATTCCTGGTTTTATCAAATTCTCTTATTTTATGTCAGAATTGAAAATTCTACCTTTATACAATGAAGTTACTATTAAAAAATAAAAAACCTGTTGCCTAATTAAAGGATTTTAAAAGAGCCTAGATAATCGAGTGACGTCAGTTTAATAATATATTATCTTTAATCAACCAACCCTATTTAGACAATACTTGATAATAATTCTTAGAAATTAGAATAAATATTGAATATATTATGTTGTTACATCATAATAATTTTTATGTTTCAAAAGAAAATGAAACCTTGGAGTTGATTTTTGAAAAATTGACTAAAACTTCAGGTAATATATTTTGAGTTAAATAATTTGTATATTTTTTATTTTTATATTAACATTTAAAATTTATTTAAATTTTAAGTATTAAATCGTATATACAGTTATTAATATCATTGATGTAGTCCTAAATAAGATTATGAGTACTAGTGTCATTCAAAAACTATAAATAGGGGATGGATAGTTATAAAATTGATTTTTGTTGTTAAAAGAACAATTTTTTTTACATTGTACGACATTTGGTTTCATTATAATTTTTTTATATTATCTTTTTATGTTAAAAAAATTACGACTAAATAAAAAATTATCAATGTTATTTTTAATTTTTCATTAGTTAAGTGATTCATGATAAATGTTCACTCTGTATATGTTCCAACTATAAAGTGTCCGTTCTGTGGTAAGTTTTTTATTAAATTTTTTTATTTCCGCAAAAAAGAATTGTGTTATTGTACTTTAAAATATAATAAATTATGTAGTATTTAATATTTTATGAACTGGATAAACGTTAATATATCAAATACGATGTTTATGTACCCGTGGACCTAAATATTCTTTATTGTACCGTCGACTACACTACTAATTTATTATCTTAATGTTTCCTTAATTTATACAAATATTTCAATTTGTAGACGAAGTTCGGACTTTAAAGTCAGAAATAATCAAACTAAGGAAAACTGTTGAGTATATCATAAATAATGATAGCAAACCAAAAAAACGCAAAGATAAGAAAAAACCGATGAACAAAAAAATAACTGAGTTCGTAGGTTTACAGCAAAGTGGAGGTAGCTTCATATTTTTTCATTTTAAGAGAATCGATAATTAAGTTTATACATGCAAATAAAAAATGGTATTTGCATTAAAAAAAAAAACAACAATTGTATGTAGATAATTTTTGGGTGAATTAATTTAAAGAAATGTTTTTGTTTTGAAACATGAATTTTAGAATTTCAATTAACCTTTAAATGGAGCTCAGTGTTGATAGTAATTATTTATAATTAAAATTTTTATCTCAAAAAAATTATAAATACTTAATTTTTTTACAAAAATTGTAAAAAATTTACAAATTAAAAATTTAAGTTGTTTTAAAAAATGAATAATTATTTATAATATTATATAAAAAATAAAATATTTATTATCATCTATGGCCTTTATTACTGAGACTTAAAAAAAAATATGATAAAGAGTAAATATAAGATTTCTGTTTAATTTAATAGTACAATTTACTCATTATAATATCAGCATATAAACCAAAACACTCAAAAAACTGTTTCACCCGGTCTCTTTAAAATCACTCAGTAATTTAAAAAATAATACTGTGTTAAATACATATTTAATAATTCGAAATCTAATTTGAACCAATACTTAATACTTGATAAATACAGTTGTAATATAACAGAGAAAATATCAGTATTCTAGAAAGTAAGAAAAGCCCCCTTTATTTAAGGGCATTTTAGGTCTTATTCTCTGAATTCCCCTACCTAAGCCACTATAGTTAAGTTATTTAGTTATATAACTATTTTTAAAATGAATAAATATTTATAGAAATTATAATTCAATCAATAATATGCGAATGTATTTTCAGAATTCATAAGATAAAATGTTTAAAAAGTATAATAATTTTAATAACGATGTATAGATATTATAAGATAAACTTAAATACGATTACTTATAATTATGTAGGAATTATTATATTTATATATGTTATCTACGAATAAAAATGTTCCAGATATCATTCCACCAGCTCCTCCACTACATCAAAGTTTGATGGACGAACTGAAATGTGATGTGAAGTTGGAGGTAATTTTTTTAACAGTGAATAATTGAGTATGGTGCAAATTCTAAATTATACCTTAATATGCGTAAACCAATGATCAAAATAATTTCTTAAAATTTATTTTTTCTGGCAATTAAAAGTTACTCTGATTTTTTTTAATGATTTTATACATTAATTATTGTATAATTCGTGTGATTTATGAATAACTTAATCATAAATTATTGATTTTATTGTTAAACACAAATGTGTGCTTACAGTGTCAAGTTACAATTACTCGTACACCTATACATACTGAGTCAGAAGAGATATAATTAATCCATAATTATACTTAAAATAAAATGCTTAAAAAATTCTTATAATATTATATTAATATATTATTTAAATGTTTAATTTTTTCCTTTTATGTAGTCGGTGAAACCAGTGATCAAAGTTATGGAAAAGCCAAAGACTGATGATCAAGAATCAGACCAATTGGTTATTGATATTCGTCGAGCTATTAGCATTCGTCGTACAAGATTTACGATGAGCAGCAGCAGTAGCTCATCCTGTAATGACGATTATGATTAACAAAATAATGTATGTGGAGTTTAATGAGAACTTATCTCATAAACATGCCTCTAATTAATTTTTTTTGTGAAAAATAAACTGTTTTTTTGCTTATCAACTAGTTTTGTAATACAACCATTTAAGTTGCTTCTTTTTTACCTGATATTTTGAGAAAAATATGTTCAGGTTTATTTAAAAAGCTGTTTACATCTTGAAAATTAAATAAATTTTCATTATTAGGTAATATATTTATTTAACTGTAAAAAAAATAACATAATTTACCAAAAACTTTTATTTACCTAAATATAAACATTTTTCTACGTAATTGATAAATATATATATATATATTAATTTAAAAAAATTATAAATTAAATGGCATCAACAAGTTTAAATCTATTATGTTGTGGTTCAGGGATTACATTGAAAAATTTTTTATAAATAGTTTGTCCTTTTCTTCCAGTATATATCCTTTGTATCCACGTATGATCCCACTTTGGATCAATTTTTTCACATGATACAATAACTTTACCAGCTTCCAATGCAAATAATGTACCATTACGTCCAAATCCAACCTATAATTGTATAAATAAAGAAAACATCTAATATAAAATATCTTATACTTACATGTAATCCTGGATGAAATCTTAGATTCCTCTGTAATACCAACATAGTTCCTGCATGAACGTGACATCCTTCATTATACCTTATTCCTCTATGTTTTGGTCGAACGCGACCTCCTGTATTAGCTGTACTTGTACCAGATTTCTTAGATGCATGACGTATTTGAATATGACCTACAGATAAAATTTTTTTTTATTAATTTATTACAAAAATATCTCTAAAGGAACTTTTGTTTTACTTTTTAAAACTATAATCTGCATATTGTTTTCTATAAAACTTAATTGAAAGTAGAAAGCACATTTTTGTTATTTAAACTTAATTGTTTTTATTAGTATTATTAAAATTGTTATAATTTAATAAATCCAATAATTATTTATTTATATTTAACATCCTTTTTGAAAGTTATTGCTTGTGCCAAACCTACAGAATTACCTACGCTAAGGCAACAAAGTCTAATCTCATACATGTACCCCAAAACATGTTGGGTCACTGAGCTAGATAAACGGCATAAATTTTGTTTAATTAAAAGTTCTATATTTATTTCTTAACACCTTTTACTAAGAAATATATCAAACCTATTTGGTTTCGAATTTTCTAACTAATGAAAGGCAATTATATTAAGGAATAGGTAACAGAATTAATACTTTACTATAAGGTTAAATATTGAAAAAAAAATAGATATATAACTTACTAAGTGAACGTATTGATGAAATTATATTAGAAAGTGAAAACTTGTACATATTAAAAATTATTTTATACAAAAGACTTTATTGAAAATTTTCTAATTACTACTATATTTAAATAAATAAAAATTAATAATATATTAATCGCTCATTTCAAATGTAAAATAATAGTTAAAACATTTCATGTATTTGGATCTTATTATAATCAGTTATAGTTTAACATGTATATATTATTTTGATTAAATGATATAATAATTTAATGATAAGGAAATATGATATTCTTCCAAGAAAGACCTATACAAGGTGATAACAAAAAAGTGATTAGTTCGGAATTCAGAAATATAATTCTCAAATAAATTCTAAAAAATTATTTCATCTTTATTATTATTTTATTCTCGGATTAACTAAATTATTAATAGTTAAAAATGTCGTCAGTCATTAATTTAATTAGGAAGAATAATGTAGGGATCCTATTTAAGTACTTGTCAATGAACCAGTGAGTAGTATATTCTTCATAAGCTGAGCTTTAAATTACACTTTATAATTTAATGCAATATGTTAAAAATTACTTAATTAAATTAAATTTATAGACACATAAGAAATGCTTCAAAATGGTATCCAGGTGTGGAAGATATGAAAAAATTTGAACAACCTGTTATGTTTGTACCTGAGGAAGCAGGTGATTGGAAAGTTCAAGCTTGGAATTCAAATATTCAACCTGTAGAACGTGAAGTTAAGAATATGACCATAAATTTTGGACCCCAACATCCTGCAGCACATGGTGTGCTTCGTTTAGTACTTGAACTATCAGGAGAAGTATAATATTATTTATATACATTCAAAACTTGATATCTATTTTATTAAAAAATTGATTTTAGGTTGTCATTCGTGCTGATCCACATATTGGACTTTTACATAGAGCCACTGAAAAATTGATTGAATATAAAACATATACTCAAGCACTACCATATTTTGATCGTCTTGACTATGTATCAATGATGTGTAATGAACAATGTTATTCATTGGCTGTAGAAAAACTTTTGAACATAGAAGTACCACTCAGAGCTAAATATATTAGAAGTATTTTATTTTTATTTATTAATCATTGTGTGTAATTATTACAAAAGAATATACATTTTTTGAAAGTCTATAATTACTAAATGATTGTTAGATTATTACTGTATATTAATGATTTTAAAAACAATTGTATTCAAAATATGTATATTCTTTTAATATAAACATATATATATATATATATATATATATATATTAATATAATATATATATTATATATAAGATAAGATTAGATATATAAGAGTATTTTTATCTAAAAATATCAATTGGGTTTTAGCTCTGTTTGCTGAGATTACTCGCTTATTAAATCATATTATGGCTGTTGGTACACATGCATTAGATGTGGGTGCTATGACACCCTTCTTTTGGCTTTTTGAAGAAAGAGAGAAAATGATGGAATTTTATGAACGTGTTTCTGGTGCAAGAATGCATGCAGCATACATTCGCCCTGGAGGAGTTTCTCAAGTTAGTTTTCTAAATTTTTATTTCTTTTAAAAGATTTTTTTTTCAAAAATTGTAATTATCAATCAGATGGCTATGTTTTGCTTATTTTGTCCCTATATATTATTAATCATTTACATTATATTTTAGCTTCGATGTGAAGCTAAGGTATTGGTTTTACTATGATGTGTTTTTTTTTTGTGTCTGTTACCACTAGATGCTTGATATCTTTACCTATCATTTGGTATATTTTTTTTGTAAATTTGACCCTTTATCTGCCCACAGGGGGGGATTTAAAATGACAACTTTTTCACAAAAAATTAACTTATTCAACTTAACTTTTGAAAATGTTCTGGAAGATCTGACACTTTTATATATATCTTAAATTAAAGCTAATGTAATATACTTTAATTTGAAAAAAAAAAAATTTGACCTCTGGACTTGTCTTCATGGTGAAAATGGCTACCGAATGCTATTTTTGTGTGAAAATTCTTTTTTATTTTTTATATTTATATATAAAAATATATAAATTTTTTATATTTTAAACTTTATAATGCTATAACTTATTGAAAAGTGTATGGATCAACATAATTTTTTTATGAGAAATAATATTTTTTAATAATCCCTTTTTCATTCGACATACTTTATCTTAATCAGGATATTAATAAGGAACTAGCAGATCATGTAGCTTTTGGAATAATACACCAATTTTTTAAAAATTAAACACAATCTAAAGATTTGCATCGAAGCGTTTATTTTTGATAGTGATTTTAATCACTGTCAGATATCATTATACTTGATCCAACTATACCACGGTTCCACTATGACGCGACCCCCTTGTGCTGGGTTTTTTAATTTTTATTTATAAAAGATTGTACCTTAATATAACCTGAAATGTTTTTTTTTAATAATTTGAAAAACTATTAGTTTAAATTTATTTAACTTTTACCTATAGGATATTCCACTTGGTTTATTGGATGATATTTATCAATTTACATCAAAATTTGGTGAAAGAATTGATGAAACAGAAGATATGCTTACTAATAATGGTATTTGGATAGCTAGAACTCGAGATATTGGTATTGTGAGTGCAGAAGATGCTTTAAATTTAGGTTTCAGGTAAATATATCATATATTACATTTACAAGGGAAATTCAGTTGATAGTTAAATGTAATTTACTGACAAATTAATTTAAAAAATTGTATATATTTAACTAATAATTTATTACTATAATATGATAAAGGTAGATTATAATTTTATTAAAAAAAATAAATAAATAAATAAACGTTTTTGTAATTTTAATTTATAATAATTATGGGACTACATCACATTACAAAAATATATTGAAAAATTGATATATCAAATAATTAGGTAAAAATTATAAAAATCTGTTGACACATAATAAAAATAAATGAAACAATTTATTAACATATTTAATATTATGGTAAATATTAAAAATAAATACATTATGAAAAATAAAAATGTCAGTACTGAATTTATGACATTTAAGCATGATCTATTTGCTGCCGAGTTATTACTATAATTATCTAAATTAGTTTTATCAGTATTTATATTGAATATTTATATCTTGTGTTTCCTGTTTTTTTGTTTACACAAAAATATTTTTCCATAAACTCTAAAAAGTAATAATTTCATTTTATAAATTAAAAATAATCAAAATTAAATCTTAACCTTTAAGTACCAAAAAATTTCTTAGAAAGATTTTTAAATAGTGGATCATAGTATGAAAGTGGTACTGTGTTAAATAAAATTCTTTTGAATTCTTAATAAGGTGTTTTGAATGCTTTCAAGTTTTAAAATTTACCCTTGTGAATAGGAAAACTATAAAATAGTTATTGTATTCAACAATTTACGTGTAAATATTCCTACTTATACAACAAATTAAATAAAAAGGAAAAAAAGAATTTTAAAAAGAAATACTAATTATTTCTATTAATAAACACTAATGAATTATTTTAGTATTCATTTTATGTTTTAATTTTTAGTGGTGTAATGTTACGTGGTTCTGGAATCAAATGGGATTTGCGTAAAACACAGCCATATGATGCGTATCATCTTTTAGACTTTGATGTACCAATTGGAACTCGTGGCGATTGTTATGATAGGTAATATAATCTAATTTTGATTAATCCTACAAGTTTTCAATTTAATGTATTTTAGATATTTATGTCGAGTGGCTGAGATGAGGCAGTCAATTAGAATAATTGAACAATGCTTAAATCAAATGCCTGCAGGAGAAGTTAAAACTGACGATATGAAAGTTACAACACCATCTCGATCAGAAATGAAAGTAATTATAATATACTTAAAATAATTTTTATTTTCAGTTAAAATTAGTTTATTAGTTGGAATTACTATAGAGAAAATACATTATTTTTTTACTATCCACAAATTCCAATTATTTAAGAAAAAATGTTTCAAATGTTTTATACATAAAAGAAATACTGGAGACTGATTAAATATTTTAAGTTAAATTAGTTATACATAATAAATTATGTTCTATCAAATATTGTCTAACCTAATTAGTTTTTATAATTATATAAGATTCATAATTCACAAACTTTCTTATATTTTGTAGAATTCAATGGAAGCGTTAATTCATCACTTTAAATTATTTACCCAAGGCTATCAAGTACCACCTGGTGCTACTTACACAGCAATCGAAGCACCTAAAGGTAATACTTTTTATTTATTGAATATAAAATTAAGGAAAATACAGGAAAAATAAGAACCTCCTCAAATTTGTATACTGTTAATAAATTAACTTAAGTAGAGAAAGTATTGCAATTTTCATTTTTTCTTTTTAATCATTTTACTTCATCAGTTATCCAAATTTTTTTAAATTAATAACCTCTAGATTCTAAAATTTTTAATTATTCAATAAATTTGTTTTTTTAAATACCAAAAAAATACCTATAAATTCAATTGATCAAAATGTAATAACTTATCCTTAAGTGGGATACGTTGTTACATACCGGGAGTAAGTTGTTACAGTATTTATTTTCTAATATATTATTTTGAAATAGCAAAAAAAGTGATTCTTATAATAAAATATTATGGTAATAAACGCTTTATGAATTAAAATTTTATAGATATAATAAATGAAAAATAAAATTTTATTTTATACAATTTTATTATTTTTCTCAAAAAATAAATTGTGTAGCATTTTTATATTTATTTATAAACATTGTCTTTAGCTTCAGCGATCTTCCAATCTAAATAAAATAAATTATACTAATATTATTAAATTAACCAAGCATTTTTTTTTTTTATTAATAAATATACTATAATAAATTGCTCCTATGAAATTGAAACAATAGCCTCATATAGAATTTTTTGTTTAACGTTTGTATTATGTTATCATACAATAATACTTATATGGTTTCACAGAAAAATATCACACCTTATATCTTTGTTTTAACAAAATTTGATGGTATTAATTTATGTATGAAATTATATGATATGCAAAGCGCTATTAAAATTTAATATTTAAATATTTAAATTGTAACAACTTACTCCTGCTACAACTAGCTCTGTTCTCCCTACACTTTATTCATTTTTATGGTTTTAGGTGAATTCGGTGTTTATTTAGTATCTGATGGATCATCTAAACCATATAGGTGTAAAATTAAAGCTCCAGGATTTGCTCATCTCGCAGCTTTAGATAAAATAGGAAAAAAACATTTCCTTGCTGATATAGTAGCAATTATAGGTATATATGAACAAATATTTTTATCAAATGACTGAATTTTAACAATAAATATTTAACAAATTCTAAAAATTGTTTAGGTACTCTGGATGTTGTATTTGGAGAAATTGATCGTTGAATTCTATTTAATTTAATTTTAAGTAATAAGTTAAAATTCTTTACTTTTTTTTTATGTTGATAATTCATAAACAACCAGTCATAAGCTGTATATACAGTTACAACTACTTTACAAGAAATGTATTGTAAAAATGTATGTTACTTTCTATCTTAAATAAATACATTTTTGAGTAGTGTTTACTATGATATTTATTAAATTGTACTTTTTTCAATTCTATTATTCATTTAAGGGTTATTTGAAATAAATTAAAATTTTACAAAAAAACTTTGCTATAGAATAATCAAGTGGTATATTATAACTTAGTACTATTGTCATTTTTTTTTTAAATATTTTTGTTATCCATAATTGAAATATTACTCATGTTTCTGGATATATCTGAAATCATATTATTTTTAGAAACAAATTTACATACATAAAATGCGTCATTTGTTTTATACTTATTATTATTTTAAATTTGTATTATTATGTATTCTGTAGTAACCAAAATATGTTTTCTAAGGCCTGTGGAAACTACCTTTTTATAATTTGGATAAAAATAAGGTGTAAACCATTTTTTCAAGAACAGTAATTTTTTTTCCAATGTTAAATGTTTTTTTTTTACAGCAGCAGAATCAGTGGCAATTCAACATATTATAGATATGTGGGATTAAAGGAATTTTTTAACTATTTTAAATACTATGTTTTTTTTGTATCATTGAATGTTGCAATAATGACACTCTTAGAATTATACTAAACCCATCTAAACAGCCATACTAGACACTTGTGACAGGTTGTGGAGTTTTTTTATAAATTGTCATTATTTTTGTAGCAATTCTAAATACCATAACACAATCATTAGTGGTAATAATCAGACATTTACCTCACTTGACTTTCTATTAAATCAAATTTATAAAATTAATTAGTAATACAAACAGATGTCTAAAAAATACTTTTATATAACAAAAGCATAAGTTTTTTTTAATATTTAGGGGGCTAATGGACATATTTTTTCATATAAATATTTTTTCCTAGTTGAAATAAATAGAAATAGGTAAATTTATTTGGAAAGTTATTTATTATTTAAAATATAAAAATCTTTAGTATAAGATTTCAGATGGCTTATAAAAATCAGTATAATTCATATTTCGAGAAAAGTAGTTTATGTAGAGAAAAAAATTGTTCAAATGAGGATAACTTAGATGAGATAATGGTAGCATAAAACCAATTATATATTATTATTCTAGAGGGAATACTGAACATTTAAACATAACAATTTTTTTTAACCATTTTTAATAATAAATTTTTTTATTTGAAAAAAAAGCTAATTGTCTCATTGTAGACCACTGCTGATTTACATGGCCTATATGAGTACAATCCTATTAATAATAACATTCACCTATAATTACAACTCAACTTACATTATTTCTTCTGTATACGACAGTCCCCGTTGAAACTAAAATTAAGTTAACAGAAAAAATAGAATAGGCTACTATTATAAGTTATAAAAAAATTTAGAAGTATAAAAAAAATATTTATTTCAATTATCTTACAAATAGTATAATTTTAGTAATTTTTCTTAAATATTAATAGTAGATATTGTAATTCATTATGACTACTGTCATGAAATAATGTTTAGGAAACTTCATCAATCCTGAAAAAAATCCATACATTTTTCATAAAAATACTAAAACTATGTTAGATATTTATTTATTTCCCTAGAATAATACATATTCCTCACCGTTGGAAACTGTACTTTTGACATGTTGTTTCTCCTTTCGACAGTCAATGTTATTTTATCCCCCGCTGTTGCTATTAATGGGACAGTTAGGCAACAATCTGAATCATCCGTCCTAGTGTTGTTTACCTAAAGAAATAATAACCAAGAGACTCAAATCTTCAAATGGTTTAAATTAAATTTTATAGAGTTTTTTTTAATTATCCCGAGTACATCAATAATAAATAAATATTTGTGTTTGTTTTACTTAACACTAAAAATTTATATTAATTAGAAATTTAGTGATGAGGAATCACTCCTTTCTTAAAACTATAAATATTCCTGAACACTGAATATACCAATAACATCTCACCGAGTTAGGTATTTCGTAAGTAGGCTCAAAAATTTTTTAACATGCTTTAAGTCCCAAGCCTTTATAATAACAGTTGGACCCAATTGCATTAACTAACCCGGACTCAGTTTGTATATAATTCGGGATTTAATTGAAATACACAGATAAATTAAGCCGCGTATAAACATATTTTTTTACTAACCTGTATTATGCGATCATATCGTTTCAACATGCCGCTCATATCGGCTGGACCTCCCTTACGAATGTTATTTACAAACACCCCTCTTTCATACAAACCATCAGAAATACTAAATCCAAAATCTTCATATATACCATCTTTAAACAATGTAACCTGCAATACAAACATTCTTCATATGTTTTAAAAAATTAATACTTAAATGAACTATATGTAAATGTAAAAAATATTCGTTTAAGAACCAGCTTCTTTTTCTCTTTCGCCTTTACCCCAATTACTGGTGATCGACCACCTTTATTCTAAACCTCCACGTGACACTATCTAAACACACACCAGCATTCCTCATTAACTTCCAATTGCATTCAACCTCCTCTTTTTTCGTCTTCCTCTTCTTCCTTCAACGTTTATTTCTACAACTTATTTCTTATAGCTTCCGATTACTTTCTTCTTATAAAGTTACTAAACCACCAAGACTTATTTCTTCATCTAATCCATGATCAATGACACCTATGCTTACTCTTACCTACTTATTCCTTCTCTCGCCAATCCTAGCATTTTAATTTCTATTTTTTCGCCAACTGCCCAACACTTTGACAATATAAAGTTGGTCTCCTTACTACTGTTTTATGGAACTGATTGTTTAGCCTCATCGGGATTCAATTATCGCACAAAACACCAGACGTTCCAACACACTTGATCCACCCGGACTTAATCCTTTGTCCCACATCCTCCTCGATACCACCGTTCTTTTGTACAAATCATCCTAAATATATAAAACGCTCCCCTGTAGTCTTCTCGCTTATTGCCATTGCACTCATGTTCTCTTTCGACAAACTCATACGCTATACAGTGTCATCAGAATTTAATAAACTTGTAGATTTTTCGACAAAATAATATTACCAGTCTTTTTTTGGTTTCTTTTAAATACCTTTTCTTTCAATTTCAATTTCTTTTCAATTTATCAATCATGATGTATTTTAAATATTCATATCTTATCCCTCGTAACTCATAAGATATTTAACTTTTACCAACATACATAATTTATTTATTTATTACATAATGACCTAATTAAGAATATGACTAAAAACTAATACTTTTGGACTAGTATTTCAGAAGTTATTAACAAGTGCCTTTTTTCATATACTCTATTAGTTAATATATAATATTTGTGGGGACTATGTAATAATTATTATTAACGATTTGAGATAAAAATTTTAATTAGACAATATTTTTTTAGAATACCACAAATGTGATCAACAATTTTTATGAATCTTTTTCCAATTTTTTTGTATAAATTTAAATAAATGTTTTTTAAACTGGTTTAAACATATTGGATACTCAATAAATCAATAAATGCAATGTTTGTACTTATGAACGCTGCATATTATATTCTTACAGTTCTTTAATTTTAATACACCCTTATAATTTAAATTCTTGATTTTTACTTTTGATACACTTGTATATTTAAATTACATTTTTTATTTTTGCTACTCGTATAATGGAAGTATTCATAAATTATATTGTACCGGTATCCATTATAATAATATCGATTTGATCTCTAAATTGGAGCTGAGGAAAAAATATTGGTTTATTAAAATAATTTGTTTCGTAAATGTAGTCACTCACTTAAAATACTTATAATTTTTAATTTCAATAATCCAGTCAACCATTTTTTTCTGAGTTATTAGATGTTAAAAGTATAAATATTTGTAATATTCATAATAAAAGTATAATGTTTGCTATATGTTTTACTTTTGTATATATATATATATTAATGTAACTAAAAATATATTGTATCACAAGGGATCGGCCCGTTTAAATAAATAAATAAATGAATAAAATCTATGGCTCTTAGATTGAAGACTCAACATTTCACTTATTTTTACATCTATATATTTTACACACATTTTTATTTTATCTTATATAAAATAAACGTGCAATTAATTGTTATATTTAAAAATATACAACTTACCATGGTAATAGCTACTTACTTGGAACAAATCATAGTCTAAAAGTCCATCTCTATCCTGGTTTTCAGCAATCCTAAATATGCTATCAACATCATAGTCCGTGTGCTCTCTTATGTAATACGGCCTAAGAGTACCCCCAAAGTAATCGCTGTCGAACTCCGGTACTTTTCTTTGAGCACTTCTAGATCTATGCCTCAAAACTATTCTCTCTGGTGTGGGCTCATGTAAGTTAGGCGCAGACTGAGTAGTGTCCGATTCGATGGCCGAGTCGGTTGACAGTAAACCGATACTCGTATATAAAGGCCGTTGAGGACGAGATACGGTAATCACGACTCTGTCGTCGGTATTTTGCAATTGTGAGATTGCGGTTGAAAGTGGCGCTTGTGACAAATCTGTGCCGTTTATGGCCAATAATCGGTCTCCCACGTGAATGGCCCCAGTGCGAGCCACCAAACCACCTAAAAATTAATAAAACAACACATTGAACCAATCTATTTCTTTTTTGTTAGTAGATTATAAATTATTTAACATATCGATAGTGTTATATTCCCTACAGGATCATCTTTAAAAAAAATTCTAAGTCTAAGGGAGCCCCTTGCCCGGGCTTGGATATTTGTTTATATTGTTAGTAAAAATTATATATATATATATCATTTTTATACCTAATAAAAATAATTATTTTGTATTTAAGTTTTTTTGTGGTGTATTAATAATAAATTACTACAATTTAAAGGTATTGTTAATAGAGTTACTCCGCTATTTTTATTTATAATAAATATTTAACACATACCAGGTGAAAGTTCTTGTATTGAAATAGGTAAACGAGAATCTTCAGACCCAGTTATAGTAATACCCAAAGGTTCTCCTTTCTTGTATAATTCAACTGTGTATTGGACTAAATCATCATCGTCCTCGTAGTCGTCTACTAGTTGATTAAAAATAGATAATACCTTAAAAACGAATAATTATCTTAAATTTCTATGGTAATATTTTACCTAAATCAACAGACGAAGTCTGTACATGCAGTGTAACTACGTCACCTGCTTCCTGGAGTATTTCTGTAGCCTCTTGTCGGCTACAATTATGTAAAGACTTATTGTCTACAGCCAACAAAGTGTCACCAGTCTTCAAAGTACCCGAACGGTGTGCTATGGATCCAGGAACAATTTCAGAAATAGATACATGTCCGTTACCGTCGTCTATTAAAATGACAATTTAATTAATAACTATTTTAGCGCTTTTCTCCGAATTCGCTAGAACTTGAAAATAAATAAATAATCAAAGCGTAACACTATCATCAGTACCATAGCAAGGGATCGAATTAAATCGTGTACATATTGTTGAAATATAAAGTTATAAGTTACATTTATGAAAATAATAAATTGTTAGATTTAAATAAACACATGTTTATATGAAAAATATTCTAAGCAAACTTAATTAATGCCTTCCAAAAAGTATAAAACGCCTCACGACATTTTAATACTGATTCAAAAATAAATAATAAATGTACAAGGTGATTGATTTATTGTTATCCACTAGATTTCTTCTAAGATAATAATAATTTTTCTTGTTTTTGTTGTTTATTTCTCGATTTATAAGTGGTTAAAAAATCTGTTTAGATCTATTTTATATCTCTCTCTCATAAGAGTTGTCAAATTATAAACACTCCGGGATATCTTTCATATTGACAATTTTTCCAAATTTTTTACGTAATTAACCACAATTTTTCACAAAACATATTTTAGTCACTTTAATTTTTGACATTCCTTAAACGTATTCCACCAAATACCTGAACAATAAACTAACCTGTAATGGTGATTCCTAAGTTCCTATTGTCACTCTTAATCAGTTTTATGGTAAATTCGCCAGATGTGGGCACGACAAAGTCAATAATGTCAAACTCTATTTTGACACAAGCGTTTTTTACTTCGGGTCCCAAAAATTCGTGTAGAGGTTGTTGAGATAATGCTACAAAACTGGCACTCTTGCAACCGTTCACTGATAAAATTCGATCACCCACTTGCAGACATCCGGTGCTGTGGCAAAAGCAAAATGCATTTTACATAACATGATTTCTATAAACTATTACGTATTTTTATGAAACCAAAATAAAAAAATAAACAATATATACCGATCAGCAGGTCCTCCGGGTTCGATAGAGCACACAACGAGTACAGAATTGTTCGAACGTACCTCCACACCGAATCTACAGTTTTCGTCTGCCACTAGAGTTAATATCGTGTGGTCTGTTCGCACCACATTATCTAAAAAAAAAGTGAACATCACAAATTATGTAATGGATTATTGGTATCGGTTGTCACTGTGCTCTGTAGGTGTAATTGTATGAGCCTTACGTGAATCTGTAGGTTCCCATACCGACGGGTCTTCATACATGGAACACATATTGTACGGACGCAAGTCATACGATGAACAGTCTAACAAGATCAACAAATGGAAACGTCAACTTTGATCACATTTATTTATAATCACGAGATTACTCACAGTCAGCATGAATCATTTCTGAATTGAATACTGGTATTATTTCCAACCTAAGCATTGCACGTGCTCCACCACACGCTCTCAAAAGCTTATAAACATCACTGGCTGCCATTCTAGTACCCGCTACCCTAATATCATTGACAGCAACAATTTGATCACCAGCAAATATAGCACCGCTTCTGTAATTATCGAATACTATGGTATCTTATTAAAATAAATAAATTGTATACAAATATTATTAACACGATGAGATTTAATTTTCCAATTAAAAAGAAAACAATCCATTTTGTTTCCTAAATTCATCAATGATTAATTATTATTGTTCATACTTTGCAGTTCGTCGCATGCACCCCGACATTTATTAGGTCAATGATCATATACGAAAGTATACAGGAACATAATTAAGGATAGATGATGGACATATATTCCTTCTGAGCAAAAATTATAACACGTTTGAGGTACAACTTTTGTAATCAGGAGAGGGGTATTTTCTTGAATGTGCCCCCATAAAAAAGTCTTGATTATATAAATGTATATAATATCATTTACCAATTTTATATTACACATTCTATTCTCTGTATCATATCATACAATATACTGAGTGTTCAAAAAGTAAGGAAACAGATCAATTGTTACGAACAATGAGAACAATAGAAACCCGTTTCCTAACTCTTAGGAAGTAAAGAAACGGGTTTCTATACATGATTTATATCGAAAATCAACGATTAAAAAATAATATCAAACAATTTCTTTATTTTCAGGAAAAAAAATTAAATTATTATTTTACATTTAAGCTAATTTGTACACCATTTTCACATTAAAAAATCGGTAACACAGTGAGGTCGTAACATAGTTGGGACAAGTATAGATGATATCTGACAGTGATTATAATCACTATCATAAGAAACGCTTCGATGCAAATCTGTAGATAGTGTTTAATTTTAAAAATATGGTAGATTATTCCAAAAGCAAAAATAACTCTTATTTATTGTTCTACTTAGACTGCCATTTGCACATAGAAAATAGGTCGTCCGTACAATTTTTTTTTCGAACTTCTAGTACATAAAATAAGCTTTATTTTAACATATATTTAAAAGACGTAGTATTTCCGGAACATTTTCAAAATTTAAGTTGATAAAGTTCTACTTTTTATATTATGTTTCAAGTATTGAACACCCCCTGTGTTCAATACTTCAATACCCTGTGTTCAAGAGGAAATTCACCAATCTAAAAAAAAAGTATTTCGGATGAAAGGGGTATATACAATATATTTAGAAACAAAAATTTTGTGTTGAACTATATATTTTTCAAAAAGTTATGCAATTTAAAGTTGAAAATTTAAAATCGAAAATTTTAACACAACAATAGAAGTTTTTTTAACTATGGCAGTCGTTTGCACATAGAAGATAAGTTGTCGGGACAATTTGTTTTAATTTAAAAGACATGTCATAAGCTTTAATTTGACATATGTTTAAAGGACGCAGTATTTCCGGATCATTTTCACAAGTTAAGTTGAAAAAGTTGCTATTTTGAATTCCTTCTTGTGAGCAGGTAAAGGGTCAGATTTTCAAAAATGTTATATCAAATAAAAGGAAATTACTTAAGGTTTCAATCAAAAAAAAAAAATTATTATAATTTGTTCATTTTTCAAAAAGTTATAGCAGATTTAAGAAAAAAAAATATGAAAAAAGTCAAAATTTATAGATTTTAAAAATCGTAATTTTTTTAGGGATTTCAACCATTTACGGGGAACGATGGGAAATTTTTCAATTTTTGAGGGTAATGTCTTCAATTAGATACGATTTGTAATCTTTTGAGAAAAATCGGTACAGTGAGAGCTGAAAAAAAGTAGTGACAGACACAAAGAATAAAAATAAACACATCATTATATATGCATTACATGCACAAATAAATAATTTCTCAGCTTCGTATCGAAGCTAAAAAAATTATAAATAGGTTAAAAAAGACCAATATAATTCTCGAACTTCGATATGTAAGCAAAAACTAATATTTCCGAATCATTAACATATGATTGTGGAAACATTTTCAAATAATTTATTTAAATATATCTACCAGGGTATCATCAGTTTTAATTAAATATTTACACCTATCAGTAATAGTTTATCCATACATACAAAACAATAGTAATATAGCTTGAAAAATAGATTGTAATAGAAAATATAAAATAAAATAAATAATGCATAGGTAAAAATACTCAATTTTAATTTTTTATTGCGTTATACGATAATGTTATTTATTTTCATTTTTATTTCATATACATATATGTACTGGGTCTCTATGAGAGAATTCGTGTTGGGGCTCAGTAATTCAATTTAAATTAATTATAATAATAAATACTATTTTACAAAAATATTATTAAGTAAATAAGTTGTTCTACATAGAATAATGATTTTAATTAAAATATGATATATATTTATTATTCTTATATTATTAATTAACTCGTCAAGAGATTATAGTAACCATTGCAGTATACAGAGTGATTGATTATGGATAAACACTCATTTTCTCAGAAAATGTTTAATATTTTGTATTTTTGTAAAGGAAAATATTGTTTGATTATAAAAATTCTTAAATAATTTGTAAACAATTTTTGTTCGTCCCCTCAGGATAAAAAATCTAAACCTAAATATTTATTAATGAGAACCCTTTTTTTAGTTTAATGACATGATTCATTTCTTATGCTTTATAATGATTTCAACTTGGTTTTTTCAAATGGGAACACATATTTTGAATTTAATAAAATGTTTGACTTTTTATTTCAATAATAAATAACATTTGAATTTTTAACATAACTATATTCGTTTATATATATATATATATATAACATATTTTATGTAAAAAGTATTTTAAATACAGATAGCTAAATGCTTTTTGATGACGTTACTATTCACAGATATATAGTGCAATTAGTTACATGTATTTGTATTCAATTATGTATTATACATGTGTAATAACTTAAAGATTTGAAACTTAAAAGTTTTATACCTACACCCAGAGAAAAACCTCGATCTATATAATAAATTCATTGTTCAATTTGATAAATATATCATTACTATTGAATCTATGATATATTTATCAATATGATAATTTTTTTTCTTGTCTTGAACAATAATTATTTTGTTCGTATTAATAAAACATTATCATAAACCCTTGATAAAATTTCTCTATCAAAATTGATTGAGGTTTTTCTTTGGGCGTAATAAACAAAGTATGTTCAAAATTCAAATGCCATTATCCATTTAAATAAAACCTCAATACATAAGAGATGAACTTAAAAAATATTATGAGACTAATTATTCAAGAATAATATTTTACTAAATGTAATTGATTAGAATTCTAAAAATTTGATTTGGCCCATTTGTAGTTTAGAAATTACGTTATCATACGAACTACCTCATCTTATTATATCATAAAATAGTAGACATTCTAATAATATAAAATAAATTTAATATAATAGTCTTTGTTCTAAAATTTTATATCAATTTCTTAATAAATATCATTTTCAAAATTATATATTATTCAAGTAAAAATCAGAAAAATGATATAATAATATACGCAATAAAAATATGATATATTAAACAGTCTAGATAAATAAATAAATATATATTTGAAACATTACTGAACAATTTTAAAATAATTTATGTGATCTATCTATCAGGGTCTCATAATTTTTTATTTTAATTTCATGTAAATAAAAAAAATATATTTCTTAAAAACATTTGTAAAAAAACGGTAGCACAGTGGGGTCGCGGCATAGTAGAGACATTGCATAGTAGGGTCCAGTATAGATTTAATCTGACAGTGATTAAAATCACTATCATAAGAAACGCTTCGATGCAAATCTGTAGATAGTGTTTAATTTTAAAAAATTGATGGATAATTGCAAAAGCAACATCAACTTCTATTAAAATAAAATACAAAACCCATAATTATCATACAAAAATAGTATATTTTTCAATATGGTAGCCATTTGCGTATAGAAGATAGATCGTCGGNATATATTTGAAACATTACTGAACAATTTTAAAATAATTTATGTGATCTATCTATCAGGGTCTCATAATTTTTTATTTTAATTTCATGTAAATAAAAAAAATATATTTCTTAAAAACATTTGTAAATAAATTGTACGAAAACATCTACCAGGGCCTCATCAGTTTTCATTCAAAAGTTATACATTTCTAATGCACAAAATTGCATTGAATATATACTTCTAAAATATTTATGTAACGTCATGGAAACATTTCAATATATTTCTTCTATGTGTTCCGATCAATAATCTAATCACAATCCCTTGACAATAACTCAAAAATAATGTTCCATAGCAATTTATTTTTTGAGTCATTCAAAATTTAGGCTATAAATACTAAAGAAAAAATAGATTTTCATAGTAAGCTTGTAGTTTTTAACCTCAGTGCTCATAGCTTAATAGATATTACTTATATTCTAAGCAGGCACTAGAACACTTCGTACTCTTTTTATTGTAGTACATAATATATTCCCTATATTTTAACTTTTAAGGTTTTTGTCCCTTCCCTAAACAATTCCCGTAACAAAATTATTTGACAACATCTGCTTTGTAGCATTTTCACTCTAAATTACATAATGCGTCCAATTATTTTTAAATACATAATATATCTATCATAAATAATAATTATAAAATTGAAAATTGAAAAATTTACAAAAATCACAAATAAAAACGAAAAAGTTTTACATTTGTAAGCTCATACATAAACAATTATTTAATGTATAAGCCAAACTAAAAATCATATGAATATTTTAGAGATATAATATTGTAAATACGTTTTAAAACTATTGACTTGGATAGATTGACCAGGATTTCATCAGTAGTTGCTTTTCGCATTACTTCATGACTATTCCAAATGGTATCATAATTTTATGATACCATTTGGAATATTTAAAAGGTACTATTTCTTGAACGTGTATAAAACATTATACAAACATTTATAAATCACTTTTTATAAATACATTTACCAAGGTTCTATCAGCAATTTATATCAATTAACCATAAAGTTCTCAAGTATGCATCAAAGCTAATATAGCAATACACATACATAATTATAAATTAATTTTTTTTAAATAATTTGTCTGAAAGATAAATTTATACATCACAATAAAGGTGTCATATACCAATTATTTCAGGTACTCGCTAATCTATTTGAAAAAAAAAAACTATACACATGCTTCAAGTTAAAATTTAAAAAAATTATAATTTAATAGATTGAATTTTAAGCATACTTTTATTAAACCGTGGTAGATGTCATATTAAAAATAATTAACGTATGTATCTGAGACGATTTAAAAATTTTACAAAGTATTCATAGTACAATGGCATTAGAAAAACAAACTGAAATAGTACATATACATATGTATATATATATGCTTAAAACAGTGCCCGGCGCTAGATTTTGCAGAGCCTCTGGCCAGAAAGAGGAGCTTGAAATAAAATAGATTTCTCCAATGAAATTCTTTACATGGTGAAGATACTACTACTTTTTACGTTTGGAGGGAATAAACATTTTTTTTTTATGCATGTCCCCCCCAAAGAAACAAAACCCTAAATACTCCACTGATATGTACGGAACCGAAGCACATACCCCACTTGTCACAGCACTGGTCTACAGTAAAACACACAGGTACTTAGGAACTTGTAACTCTATAAAACATCAAAATATGCATGCACATATGCTTTAAAAACAACAAAATATGCTATAAAAAATGTATATGTATATATTTAAAATGAATAATTATTGTTTAAAATATTGTTCAAACAAAAATAAAATTTTATATTAAATAGTTATTAATCATCATAAATAAATAAAATATGGCATAAGTATTAATTTCATTAATATTGATATTAAATTTTTTTTAACAATACAGTGGATTATTTATAAAGTATTCTAGTTCTCTTTTAAAAATGTTTAATAAGTCACATTAATATTAATTTTTAGTGCCCTGTTTTCATTGTCAGTCATTTTTTTTTTGAAAATTAGGTGAAGTCCTTATTTAAAAAACAAATTAATCAGACGAAAACAAGTCCATGAATTCGTTCACGTAACTTTTCAATGGGCTGCTTGTCTTTTGCGGCATTTTTCACTAATCGAAAAACGAGCAGTAAGAAGTTGTGGATTTATTAACATGATAATTCAAGAGACTATAATGTAGGCCCTAAATACATTCAAAAGAAATATAATAAAACGTTACCAAAGAATTAATCGTGAAGTAAACCTCAGATAATATTCATTACATATTGATACATGTGTAGCTGTGAAATCAAATGATACAGATAATATTATTTTGACAAATTATTTATTTGGTAAATAAAAAATCTATTTTATTAAAAAAAAAAATACACTAAAATATTATAATTGTTAAGTATACATTTTACATTAAATAATTGCGAAATATGCAAAAAAATTAAAATAAAAGTTAGAACTTTGTTTATACATTACATTAAATAGAGCTGTAATTTACTGTGCTACTTTTTATTACTTTATTAAAAAAATATATGCTTTTATTACAAGTTCCTAAGCTTACTCATTACTATATGTACAAATAGTGTTTTAAACTTGGGTAACTTAAATTCCCAATACCAAAATTAATTTTTTTAGCTCCACTCAAAATGGTGTACCCAATCTTCTTTTTATCTATTTATAAATAAAATGTATGTAGAACATTGTACACATATAGTCTTTTCATACCATTGTAGTATTTTATTTTATTTATTCAAACCAAAAGATATTAATATGTTTAAATTAAAATACATATACTACACCAATGATATTGCCCACTCAAATGATTAAAGTACAAGATTTTAAAAAAAATAAATAAACAGTAATTTTTTATACAAAAATAGAAGTAATTATTTTATTTTTCTTCAAAAATTTAAAAAGGATAGTAAAATTTACTTAAGGGTACTAAGTAGTCAAAGCACCTCTTATTTGTACCTGTGCTCATTACAAGTAAAGAAGAAAAATGTATATTTTTTTAATGGTTTTACTTTAAAATATATTCTTTCTTGTTATTGTCAAATAATGGGTAAAACAAAAATTCAAAATGATGAAAAAGTTTTTTTTTATGGAAACAATGATTATGGTCGTATTTTTACTTAATTTCATTACACCTTTTTAAATGTAGTATACTGCAGTAATGCCGATACAAGTAATAAGCTACTCCATTTAGTAATTGAGCCTTAATCTCAACTAAGAGATTACGCCTATCTTACAAAAAAAAATCTATTCATAAGGAATACAAATTATTTATATTGTTGTTTCAATGAAGAAAAAATAATTAGAAAGTTAAAATTACATTTAATGTATGTGGCCAACAAAATTATTTTAAGCACGTTTTAAATTACACTAAATACTCAAAAGAATTTTGAGACATTTTGACAATTTTTCTAAGTAATCCCAAGGGAAGTAGTGGCTATTCTCTACTTTCATTTTCAAAAAATCCAAATTACTTAGCAGGTACCTAATTACTACTTATGTATTATAACAAAATTAAAGAATATTAAAAATTAATTTATTCATAAATATTTAAGATTTAGTAAAGTAAATACATTTTCTGGTTTTGTTTGTATTAATCTACAGGTGAATCACAATGATATAACAAATCCAATAACTTTTGATCCAATAATCATTTTGCAGTAATTTTTTTAAATAATATTTATATTTATATATTTACTATGTTAAAAATGCAAAACTTGTTGAAAAAAAAAAATACACCATAATTGAATAAAAAATTATAAGATTTTTCATATCTTCGTGACTCACTCTGTAAAAACCAAAAGTATTATAAATAAAAAGCGTGTAATAGAGGTAAAATAAGTAAGTAGATTTTTGTTTGACAAAACAAATTAAAAATATAAAATAAAAATCATTTTAGTTGTACCACTCATAAGCGTCATAGTATTTTTTATTTTTTGTATACAAAAAAATGTATTAATCATATGAAACTGCAAGAATTTTTGCATTCATAGTTTTTCATCTAATAATGTTTCTGTGCTGTGTTAAGTTATATAGGACTGAATAATAATTAATGCTCAGTTTTAAATTTTTTAACCTAGATAATTTAAAACACATGGCTTACCGTTCGGCTATGCTTCCAGGTTTTACATGATCAACAACAACAGCACTATTATGTAAAGTATTCGTTAAACTCAATCCTAATTGATGAGGCCGAGGGCTTTCGACTTCAACCAACATAGGATTTATGGCATCGCCTATTCTTTCTGCAGATGACATCTGATATCGAATGGTTAGGCGACAAGCGCGATCTGATTGTCGGAGTACTGCATCGGCTTCGGCCAGTGTTAAACCGTTAAGGGACATTCCATCAACGGCCAACAAATGGTCACCCACTTTAATAGTCCCTTCCCTAAAAAATATATATAGTATATATATGAACTAATGTCCCATCAGGGTTTGACATCTTAAATAACTTTTGAACCAGCAAAAAATTTTGCGTTAATTTTTTATAATAGACCATGCTTAATTATATCTTATATATTTTTTTCTAAAAACATAAATTAAAAAATTATATTTTTATCTTCACACGGTACCGTGTTTCCCTCAGCCGCACATCACATTATCAACCTAAATTAAAGTGTATCGGAATCTGAATCAGAGGAGAAGGTGGCCTAGTGGTAAGGTTGGTCTCTACGGCGCCTTAAGTCGCGGATTCTAATCTCGTACCGTATCTCCTTTTTTCACAAGATTTCCGGTATACTTTCTATAATCGGCTGTCAATCCCCGGCGGCCGTGTCATTCTTAATATAAGCAAATAACTAAAAATATTTTTAGCTAACTACCTTATTTATTAAATAATGATCTAATTAAGAATATAACTGGTCAATAAATATATTTTAAAGTTTATTTAAGAAGTTATTAACAATTTAAAGTAATGACAGAAAGTGAGGCGCGGGTGCTACTATTTTTATCACTAAACATTCTTCGACATTTCCACTCCTCACCCTTTCTAGATATAAAATAACTTTTGAATTATTGGTCCAAATATTGTTATCGATCAGTCATCTTCCTAATTAATCATTATTTAAATAATAAGCTAGTTAATTATGTATGTTGCCATTAGAAATAATAAATAAGACACTTTTATAAGGGATGAACATAAAAAATGCTTCATGATTGATAAATTGAGAAAAATATCAATTTAAAATAAACAAAAAAAAAATATATATTAAAATTATTTTTATTTCATCGAAAAAACTGCTAGTTCATTAAACTCTGATGACCTGTATGTGTTAGATATTTTATATTGTATGTACACAAATGAAAAATAATTTTTACCTTTGAATATTATTAAAAATATTAAAATAATATTTTAAATCTTTCGTTTTAATATTTGGCAATAATAAAAGTCGCAAATACTCTCATAACATTGAATTCATATTTATTATATACATTATATTTTATGAAACTTAATAAACAAAAATATATTTATATATATATACACACAGCAAAGATATTAAAACTAAAATATGTTACTATGCTGTCACCATGTGTTTGCGGTTTTGGCACACAATAATTTTTCAAATGTAATACTTCCGGTGTACGAAGGTCAATAAAAAAAATTTCAGAAACCCTTTGTGACTTTTATCTTAGGTCATAATAAAAATGATATAATTAATGTTAAGTATTAACACGTTGCAAAGTTGGCTCAATAAAAATAGAAAATTAACTTTTTAAGTGAATTATAAACAATATTCATAGTTTATTTACTCGATATTTACATTTAGATTTTAAATAAAATATTATTTTGAAATAACTATGTAACGTAAAATACAATACGATTGAATAGATTTCAGTTGTAAACATTAATTAAACTCAATTACCTATCAGCTGGACCATCGACACGGACATGTGTTACAATCAAAGGTCGGCACATATTTGGGTCTGAATGAGCACCTCCACGAAGAACAATACCCAAACTACCACCCCCGTCGCGTTCTATGAAAACATCGATTAACTTGTGTTTAACACATTGATCTAAAACAAATACACTGTAAATTATCGGCGGGTACCTCTAATTTTATTTTGTTCGTACTATTATATTTTTCTTTATTATAAACACAATAGTCAGCATAATGACTATTAGAGTCATAAAATTTGGACGTGTCTGAAACCATAAGTCTTCCACGATTATCGTCGTTTTTCTGTGACGAACATACTTTATCTAACAACCCTGCAAATTACACATGTGTCTAAATTAAATTGAATCAAAATGAAATAGTTCAATACACTATAAAATAGCCATAATTTTTAGTTATATTATTTTACTACCGGTAAAATTATTGATAACTATAGACCATAGTATTACCATAAAATCAAAGGAAGTAAGCAATAATAAGAAAAAACTTGATAGTATGATGAATTTTAAAAATTTGGCTCACACAGTTGTTACTTTCTAGTTTGATTATTATTTTAGTACATTTACCTACGTTACGCGTGTTTTAATTATAATTCTTTATCATGCAGCAAGTCCCAAAAAAAATAATTCAAAAATAAATAAATTAATAAAAATATCACATTCCTTCCAAGTTTTAGATAAAATTTTAAAAATAAATTCATGGCAAATATGTATTTAAGTAATTACTTATTTCTAAGTATACACCAGATAATGTACACATCATAATACAACTCAAGTACAAACATGTTTAAGATAAATAAATAAGCGATTTCTTCACGCCTTGCGGTATTCATAATACAAATATTTGACCATTAAACAATTTTTCAAGTAACACTTAAAAATTGGAAGATTAAATGTTGATTTTACTTATATAAAAGTAAGATTAAGTATCATTACAAAAATGTCCAAAAAAATATGATGCAATTTAATTATTGTTATAACCAATACTTAATAGCCATCAAGTTCTATGTAAAACACTTATGCATAATGTTGAAAATAAATACAGTTTTTTTTTTATCTTTTTGTAACAACTCATATTAATTTAAATAAATAATAATTATTTTTTAATAAGTTATAGCTTTTTAGTACAGAATAGTATAGAATTGGTATAATTTACACAGTAAAATAATCTCAAGTTAATGTGGTTACTTACATTTTCCGGTGGATTTTCGATTCTGTCTAGTTAAAGATGAATGGTTTAGGCTACTCGTACTAGCTCCGTTTTTGGATTTAAGTGCAGACAACTTCAGCGAAGAAAACATTTCACCTTCATGACGATGACTTAAAGAAGAGTGATCAATATTTATCAATTACCGAATATATTATATCAGCGATTAGTATTGATGATAATAGAGATGAATACGAAGACGGTGTGACAGCGACGATTGCACTGTGTAGTGTATACCTCTCTGTGATCCAGTTGGCTGAAGTTTAATTTTGGAACGTGCCACAACACCGTCGCTCCTTCTCCTCTTACCATTTACTTCATCTTAGACTGTAAACTAAAAAGACTGTAACGGCAACGAAAAAATATTCATGAGAAAATCTCCTTCTCTTGAAGTGCATTTCGCCGAATTACACTTTCGATCGCCTCCCACAACTCTAACTCGTCAACAAGTACGGCCTTTACGTGTAAAAACAATATTGTACAGAAAAGACAGCAAAAGAAAAACACACATACATAATCTATATTTGTTTTTATACACTTAGAATGTATGGCGACTATTACGTGTTCTGTGTCATTAGAGGGGGTTCGACTGTCTAATTATAGAGCAAAAGGATCAATGTAGACGGGCGGTAACAAGAAAAGTACCCGCCATACAAAATATTACTCCGATCTTAAATTATATTAATTATTGTTGTGTTTAGTGGCGTTTATCTGTTAGGAATTTTATTTAATTCTTTAAAATTAAATTTTAACTTAAAAAAGTTATATAGTTAATAGTTAAAGTTAATCCGTTATTATGTTTTTAAAAAATTTAATTAAAACTTAAGTTCATGACATCTCATTAACAATGAACTAAAAAGAAATTAAGTTAAAATCAAGGTTAAAAATGTTAAAGTAAAATCTAAAGCTAAAATATTTAACTTAACTTCAACTTATTAACTCGTTTACGCCCAGACTTAAATGTTAGTTTTTCTAAAACTTGTAATAATATAATATAATTTATTAAAGATAGTAAAACTGTCTACTAACTAAATACTATTTAGATTCACTCAAAGGTAACATGAATAGTGATTCTATAAACAATTTTCTTAAAAATAAACAGAATTATTAATTTTGATTTTTTTTTTTTGAAAATAACATTAGTAATAACGATAATCAAAAATGAAAAATATCATTCAACAATAACATTATTTATCACAGGTATTAACAAAAACAAAAAGACTTATAACGTTATTATTGTTATATATAACATATATATTTTTTAATTCCTTATAAGGAATTTAAAAAAAAGTTTAAATAATGGGTTACTCAGGATTTTTATTCGAATTGTATAACTTGAAAATCATTGCTAACAATTTGAAAAAAATACTTAAATTAAAAAATGAAAGTTAAGTAAAATTATTATACTTTTATAACTATTACTAAATTTTCCACAATTTTAATATTTAAAATTTTATAAAAATATCTTAGATAACTATAATTAATAATTATAGTTAGAGACATTAGTAATCAGTTTAACTGATTTAGAGATTTGTTTTAAAATATTGTTTAAAATATATCCTAGCAGTTTTAATTTTCGACTTGTCCACACAATAATTTTTTTCAAAAGTAACTGTTGACAAATAAAAACTATGAGTACAATCGATTTTGATAAATTCGTAACATGCATTAGATTTCACACATAGTCTGTATTATTATTAATTTTATGATTACTGTAACATAAAATAAATGTTTAAAATGCATATAGCCATATTTATTTATGTTCAGATATTATAATCATGACCAAGTTTCACGAAAAAAAACAAATTTTAAATGAACAGAAATCAATAATCGTGCATTATACAAGTTAATAATTTTTTATGTTACCTTCGTGTCAGATTGCAAAGATAATATATTGAGGTATTGACACGGTCATTACTGAAACAGAAATACAACAACAATATTGTCTAAAAAATATCGCTATAGAAAAAATATTTACTATGTTTGACAATTTGAACAATATTGAGAAACCCGTATTACCAAAGACAAAATTATTAAAATTAAGCTGGCGACATCAATTCAACGAATTTTTTAACAAAAGTACACTGCATGGCGTTAGATATATAGCTCAATCTGATCGCCCACTTCACGAACGGTAGGTAAAAATATTTTTCTATAATTAAGATATGTACATTTTTTCCATTTAATTAACTTGAAAAATATTTTTTTACCAAGTATCATGACAAGAGCTAGAAATTTGTAGCGTCTTTTTTCTTGTTACGCGTAGCCCGTCAAGTACAACATTCAATTCAGCATATCAATCAAATATAATATTTTTAGAGTAGTTTTATAATTGAATTTTTTGTACTTTTGGGTTATTTGAATAGTATTTTTGTTCATTTTTCTTTACTTTTGATAGGTCTATGCATTTTTTGATACTTTTTATCATTTAAGTAGCATTTATATACATTTATAAATGCATTTTTAAAGGAAACCTTAATAATCCTATTAAAAAAATGTTTAATTTTAATTTTTTAATGAATTAAAGGGATTAGTACAACAATTTGGTAAGTCTAACTTATACTTATTGTATAAGCAATTATTCAAGAACTATTTTGATAAATAAACGACTTTAATAAATTATTTTTGTTTTCTTTTAATAATTCTGTACTACCTAGCTTCTATATAAATTTTATCAACTAGAAGACAAAAAGTTATATTATTTTGTACATATGTAGATACTATTTTTAAATTTTCATGAGATATGAAACCAAACATTTTATAACTCTGACAATTATCATCTTCAGTATGCTCAAATTAACAAGTGTTAACTGATTCTACATGTCAATTAACATATTAACATTATGTCAGCAAATCTTCCATTACTATATTGTTGCCCATACATATTGAAGCCTACAATAAGCTGGTCATTATATTTTGTCTCATTTGTGGATAATTTTGGAACATCTTAAAGACCATTTTCAATGCTACGGCTTAAAAATTATGCAATTAATATCATATTTAATTTGTACAACCTTCTTTTTAATGACACATCGTGTACAGTTTCAAATTGATCGTGAACAATTGTGCCTCGTTGTTTTCCTTTGTTATGCATTCAAATTATTATAAAAAATAACTAATTAATTATTCTTAATTATTTAATTATTTAGATTAAATAATTGTACATTCATTTTTAGTATTAAGTATACAATAACATTTAATTAATATGTCAATTGCTCATAAATTATACATTTACACTAAGTGTAACTTGACCTCATGTATTATAGTTTGTCAACAAGGGATGTGCATCGACAATCTCACGGCATATTAAAAAGTCTAGATCCCATTCATTTGTCAATTTGTGTCTCATTGATTACAGACAATAAGACAATACTATTTTTCAAAAAACTTTTACGTTCAATAAATGATTTTTCACAGATTTATGTGGTTCAGTTTTTTGTCAGTGGGAATCGTAATTACTTCAATCATTATAGTATCACTATGGGAAAAATTTCAAACCAGTCCAACTATAACTGGACTCGATACTGATTTTCATAATTGGGATGTTCAATTTCCAGCTATTACTATATGTCCAAAGAAACCTATAATGGATGAAAAACTACAAGAATATGTTAACAGGTAAGAATTTTATTATAATAATAAAGAGAAACTTTAAAGATAAAGTAGCTAGACGTTAGCAAGAGCAGTTCAAGTGGGGCGTACTAGGGTGTTATAATATAACACCCTATTTGGAACGAGTCGATCATAATGAAAAATAATCATGAGCTCAAAAAAAACATCGTCATACTCAATATATAAATGTGCAAACTTTCAATTAATACTTCCTTTGGTGGGTGACTCATAACATTAGTATATTTCTTGTTGAATATAAAGCTTTTTATTAAACAGGACATTTTTTTTTTAAATAATAGTTTTGTCCACTCAACTCTTTAACTAATCAAATTTCATTTCAATTCATAAAAAAATACATTAGTTATACGTTGTCACGCTAAAATAAGTATTTTTAATAGTATTTATGGAAACGATACTGAAGAAGAGATCCTAGATAAATTTACTCAATTTGTAACTGAAGTGGCATCATTTTCCTACAGCAATATAAAAAATTTTGAAGTACTAGCAGAAAATAAATGGTTGCCAAGAGAACATTTAAAAGATATCGCTTACAAGGTAATGATATAAAATTACTATACAATGATTTTAATGTTAAGCTTAAACACTATATTAGTATCTTTCCTCTTAACAATAAAATGGAGATTGGTCCAATATTCTTCAATTTTGGTACTTAGCATTTTTATTCTTATTGATGTGTATGGAACTACTAAATTTACTATGTTGTTTCAGAGTATTGTTATTTTGAAATATTATTAATTTTATTTTATATAGTATAATTAAAAAAAAATTATAAAACAGTATAATTTGTTTGTATTTTATTGTATAAAATTTTGATTTAGTGAATAGATTATAACAGATGTAAATAATTAATTAAAGTAAATATATATATGTATTACATTTACTACTTGGCGTAGGATGGTCAAATAGTAAAATAACTTTTTCGTCATATTTTTTAGAACTCCAGTAACCCTACATCATAATAATATATAAATAAAATTTAAAAATTCCAGATAATTAAACAAGGAAGTATTAAAACATATTTATATGTAAAAACAATATTACTTAAAATAATATGTCCTAATACTCTTTTATTCTTTAAATTGTTTATATCTTTCACATGTGTTTCCTATGTATCAAAAAAATATATACGAATATCAGAAGTCAAGTCATATAGAACTAGTTCGGTCCAAAAGTCGGGTCAGGTCTTAATTTAAAAAGAACTAAGCTGGAGCACATCTGGCCAAATAAACATTGATGTTGAATCATGTACGTTTGTACGAATTATAAAATAAAATAAAATAAACGCAGATATTATTTTTAGTTTGCCGAATTATCCTTAGCACACCCTTGTTATACTCTTATATAATAAATGGATGATAATTAATTGAAAAATTTTTAATACTAGGTGGTTTACCACTGTGAAGATTTACTATATGGCTGCGTGTTCAAAGGCGAACCATACAATTGCTGTATTGGTTTTGAGCCAACATTCACGGAATATGGATTGTGTTATAGTTTTAACGCTCGACATGTTCAATTAGACTGGCCTTGGTAATAATTGAAATAAAATTAATTTCTGGAAAATTTGCAATATCAGTACCTAATTTTTTGTCACTTTGTCTTCCGTGCTTATTATATAGGATACCTGAAAACTATACAAAACTAAAGACGGAATACGTTTTTGAAACTGATACAAAGTTAGCTCTTTCGTTTAACATGGAAAATGTCACAAAAAATCCACTTAAAGTATTATTTTAATATATAAAACTAAACAAAATTACAAACAAATAACTATATTTTACAATACTTAAAATATCTATTTATACATACGTGTTTTTTATTTTCGTTTGATCTAACATTCGAAAGTTTGTTATGACAAAATAACTAAATTGGAATTTATTTTCATACTGCTAATACACAAAACTACTCGTAATTTTAATTTTCTTTTCAAAGATATTTATACACAGTACAGAGGACATGTTGATTATAGACTCATCGCCTCAGCATTTGTGGACACGAAGGATAGCTAAGATATATTTTGATAGTAAGCAGACTTACACAACTGATGGCGCCCGACAGTTAACAATTAAACAAAGAAAATGCGTTTTTCCTGATGAAATACCCCTAGTTACTGATTATATTTATACATTCAGTGCTTGCATGACACAATGTCGAATGGATAAAACAAGACACATATGCGGCTGTGTGCCTTGGTTCTATAAGAAAATAAGTATGTAGTAAATTATATTTGTAAGGGTTTATATATATTAAATATTTATCATATTTCATGGAATAAAAAATTTTTAGAGGGCTACAAACATTGCAATTTAGATGGTCTTGCTTGTATCGCAAAAAATCTTGGTGAGTTAACAGTGAAAGTTTATGTTTTGGCAGCCTATCGATCTATAAATCAATTTAAAAAAGGGTTAATACTAATTTTTATAAACCCAACTGACTAATGAAAACAAGTGAGCGTGAACTGTAAGTTTTACCAAAACCTAACATAAGTAGGGTCTTAAGACCACCTATATATGCAGTGAATTTAATACCACTTTAGAAAGTGGGCTTCAATCGCATTTAGCCTCTCCGAACGGGTTGTAAGTCCAATCAAAGCCATGTACAGGTCTGTGCTAGGGGGGAGCAACAGGACCAAATGCCCAAGAGTGAATTTTTCAATGAGCCAAGATCCCAGCTAATTAAATGGTTTTTATTTTTTTAAATTTCTATTGCCTCCCTTATATTAAGTTCTTTGTAATTATTTTTATGGTTTTAGTAGAGTTATAATATGTCAATAAACGTTCAACCAAAAAAAGAAAGAGATTTCAAACAATTTTATTCTTATAAAATTGTTTATCCGATCAACTTTTTACGTTTTAAAACTGTTTAAATATTTGAATTTAAAATACTCATTCATCATTAATTTGGTTTTCATAATACCATAGGTAACAATAATCAGTTTCAATGGGTTATAAGTTGTTTTTATGTTAGCTATTTAAAAAAATTGTCCACTCTGGTCACTCAACAAATAAATGATAGTAATGTTGCGTTGAATATAAGAGTATACGTCTATTAATAGACATGAATAATTAAAGATAAGATTTCTGTTTGATGTATAATTTTCCGACCATTCTGTCGGCTTTGCATGACAAATTCGTAGTATTGGACTCGGTTTCTATGTTTAGGAGACACTGTTCTTGCCTGATACTGTTTCTTGGTCACTCCGTAACAATGTGGTCCCAGGTGGAGCTTTGCAGTGTATCTCAACACTAGGCTAGAAAAGATAGTAATGGCGGGTTTCTATGTACTCTTTCTGAGGTCTTCGCTATACTGAGTAAGGAAGAACTCTGCGTCACTTGGTTTATAACTTCGCCGCGCTATTTTCTTTCTTATCGTCATGCATAAATAGCCTACTGTGCAGTTTCCAGATATGGATTGGTAGACCTAAGACTCTTCGCACCGTTGACTCCGGTGGCCTGGGGGCGAGGAATAATATGACTCTTTTAATGCATGTCAAAATTGTTCCATGGAAAGTATATTAAATTTTTAGCCATATTAAATAGGGGCACAATGACAGTTAGCACGGTACTGGCTATTTAACTGCTGCAGTTAATCAAACAGTAAACCACGACAATTCCAATAAAAATCACGCATTACACGTATGCATCAGTTAATGTCACCAACACAAGGTTCTATTAATGTCAAAAAGTGATAACTACTTTTCAGAATGACCATGAACTCGTGTGTAGTAGTATATTAATACACTACTACTTATGAAAATAAAACTTATTGAACAAGTAAAAAAAATGAAATACTAACAAAATAATTACTTACCACACAGAATGACTTCAGACAAACAATTATTTTTTAGTTGTACATATTTTTTTATTTATCAGTTATAACTTCACTTAGTTATACATAACTTTAAAGCAATATCCCTTATAATTTATAGGAGTGTCAATTATATATTTTTAAACAGCAACATAAATATTTAACTAACTTATAAAATAGGAAATTGAAAATATTACTGCTTGATAACAACTTTTCAACTAGTATTTTAGTATTTATTGACATTGGTATACCTGGTTGGAAGGAGTGCGGTCGAGAAAATCATAATATACTTAAATCTGCGCCTATCTCTTAGTCTACATTTTGAAATTTTTATAATTACCGAACTACTAGTCTAAAAGTTGTTATCGATCCGTCATTTTCTTAATTGGATAATTTTCTATTATATAAACAGCTAAATATGTATGTTACCATTAAAAAATATAAATTTGACACCCAGTGACGTCTGGCTAAGTTCTCCTAGAAATTTAGCAAAATTATACATATTATTATATAAAACTTATTTTTTTAAGAAGAGAATATTAAATATAACCCCCTCCCCAAAAAAAACCATCCTACGTCTATGATTGCGTGTTTTATTTCTGGACTTATTATAAATAGTTATTATTAATTTAATTAGACCAAAATTAGTGTAGTGGGCGTGTATATAAATATGTAATTTTTTCGGGGGAAGATTAATAATTTTTTTTTTAATTTAAATAGAAATGATGTATATGTATTTAGATGACCTTTTTTTTTTGTTTATAATCTTTCTAAAATACCATTTTTGGTAACATATTAGATTATAGCTTGAATTTCTTTTGTGGGAAAAGGTGCTCCTTCTTCCAAGGTGTATGGTATTGCCTCCGTGGAATAAACTATTGTCAATAATTTTTTATGTGGGATGATCCTTGAAAGTAGTTAATAACTGTTAAATCAAAAAGTACATTAAACTAAAAAAACAATTTTTACATCATTGTATTCATTTTGAGAGTAATTAAATGGGTTATATAAACAGATATTATATTTTTAATATTTCATCATACTTTTCGAGAATAAATTACTTTTACAATTAAAGATATTGCTATTGATTAAATATTAAATTTTTAATAGAATATGTTCTCAATGGACTCACTTGCTCATGTGAATTAGGATGCATGAATACGGTATATGAAGTTGAAAAACTTCAAGACGCCCAGTATGTTTACGTGTTTTATTTTATAACTAATGTAAAATTCGTTCACAGTTTTTTTTTTATTATTAACAAATATTTTTAAGGGCTGATTTGATTGACGAACCTTTGGAAATCAGTTTTGTTTCTTGGCCTATGGTTAGATACAGAAGAGAAGTTCTTTTCGGTTGGGTAGATTTGCTTGGTAAGTAATACATTATTAAAATCTTATAAAAATCTTTTCTTTGGTTATTTAAGTGTTTAAATAAAATTTACAGTTGCATTTGGTGGCATTGCTGGTTTATTTTTAGGTTTCAGTTTATTAAGTGGAGTAGAAATTTTGTATTATTTCACTTTGAGAGCATGTTGTATGGTTAACAGTAATTCTGAAGAACTAGAAAAATTAAATGAAGAGTATGAACATTATAATCAACCTGAAATTGATTTAGGTCTGAAACCACTATGGGCTGATAATGAACCACCAAAGACCAAACAAAATTTGAATAAGAAAATTGATCCCTTTGTATTACCATTTTTACCATAAAATATTAGTAAATAAAAACAAAATTCAGGTTCAATTAAAATTTTATAGAAATTTAGAAGATTTTTTGTATTAATGTAACAAATTATAAATAAAACAAATCACTAAGTAACATATGTTTATAACTAAAAAATATATATCCTAAATATATTTAAATATAAATTATTATTTTGTCGACTAGATGACTGTTTAAATTTAAAAATATCATTAATGCATGAAATTGTTGTATAGCAATAACATATGATTTGACACTCATATTTATGTAATTAATCATTTTGTAAAAGGCTATTTATTTGAATTGATACACAATTGGGACATGCAGTATCTCCAATTTTTTGTAAAGCAGACTGTATCATTGAAGTAGTTTTAGTTAAATGTTCAAAGCCATTCACTGCTTTTTTTGTCTCTTGATCAAACTGCTCACTATATAGATAACGATGACCACAAGAATAAGCTATTATTGAATCACCTATTACTTCAGCATCCTATAAATGTTAATTTTTTTTTATTATAGACGTGTAACAATTTAACAATTATTCTAATGCATACATTAAATTCTATATGAATAAATGAATTTTTTTCATCACTACTCAGTATATGGATAGAATGATCTAATAACTCTTGAGTTTTGTTATCTTCAATTGTATCTATCCGTCCTGTACTAGGGGCATTAGTAACATGAGCAAATAAATTGACAAAATCCCTTCGAATTTTCGCTAAAAAAATCAAAATTAAAATCTCTTTTAAAACTTAAAAAAATAAGATATTACTTATAGATAAAATTAACTCACAATTTTCATTGACTATCTTTGAAATAGATGAGCATAAATGCATGCAAAATGAAACAGATAAATGTTGCATAATAGCTTTTGGACTCATAAGTTTCAAGTTAAGTTCATTTTGACTGCATGTTTCTAACTTACTATTACTAATAAATAAAAGATTAGTACATATTTAAACTCACAAAAAAGGATTTTAAATACCTCAATAATAACGTTCCTAGCGGATATTTTATTTTATCCCAACGTTCCAAAAATAATTGTTCTAATGGGTCAATTGGAAATGACTTGGTCAACCAATATGTAAGATACTATAAAATAAAGAAAAGTACTATTTTAATATTTACTACAGAAATTGGTAATAATAATTTTTCTTCATACTTCGTGCAAAAAAAAAACTACATCATCTTTATGAATAAAATCATAGTAATAGTTGAATATTTGAGAAATTTTAGAAAGTCCTGGCCATTCTTTATTTATATTTTCATTCGAAAGTAAAAGAGATGATTTTTTGCTAAAGATTATTCCATTAAATAATTCTCCTTCTTCAAGATTTAATGAGAAACATTTATTTGGGGTCACTGATCCAAGAGAATGATCTAGACCATCTTCAATATCAAAACCAAATATTTCTCCATAAGGTTTTGACTGTACAAGAGCTTCAAACTGATAAAACAATGCTTTTGAGGGATTGTTGCTGATAAAACTGACTTTACTAGCACCTTGACAATTTTTCATTGCAATACACTATGATAATAAATAACAATAGTTACATATTTAATGATTACATAAAATAATATGTATATAATACATAAGAATATTTAAGAATACAAAACAAAAATTAATTACGAAAAAATTAAAATTATTTACCTTTGAAATAACAGAGGTATTATGGTAGTATGGATAAAACCACTCTAATACATAGTGTAACAGATACTCAATTCCATATAAATTACTAAGATCATTTAAATTTTCAAGAACACATTCTCTCGATTGCAAGCCAGGAAAGTTTATACAGCGCGTAACCTAAGATCAATTATAAATTTAAACAAAAAATATGTATAATTTTTATAACTTTGTATAAAGTTGTACTTTATGTATAAAAGTTTATAACTTGTATTATGTCAAATACCCCTAAATGTCCATCGTTTTAATACTCGTTTAAACCACACTTTCTATACAAATACTTTCTCACAAAACTATTGTCATTTTGCTCCTATAAATAGAATGCTTACCTTAGGTAATAAATTGAAAAAATTCGATTTTTTTTGTGATACTTCAACCAAGTTAAAGTCATTAATAAAAAATCTATAATCTTAGTAACAAGTAATATTAAATGTTTATGTGCGTTAATGTTATCCGTAGTTATTAAGATTTATTTTCATTACTGTACTGAGCCCACTAGGGCGTTTAATTTCAATTTCAAATTATTGTTATTATTATGAAATTATGAAATAAATTAATAAATAAATAAACTTCAATAGCTTACCGAAATTGAAATGATATCTTTAGTGTTAGAAAATGAAAATCTTAGTTGTGGTAGTATAATTTCAATTGGTGAATCTATTTTGTTAACATTTCCATGTTGAATCTTGATGACTTTATGAGTTGATTTGATCATAACCATTTTACCATCTAATAATGTTTTAGCTAAATCTTCTTCTGGAATTTTACCTAACTAAAATTTTTGATAAGTATATTAGAGTATTAAATAAGACATAATTATTTATTTTTATATAAAATATAGTGATAGAGATTAGTGTATTTTAGGATATCTATGAAAAATTAAAAAACATCCAAGTTTTCAATAAATTATTAAGTTATAAACTATCTATGTTTGATTTGAAAAATAAATTTAACCCAATCAGTATACTAATCAGTATAATAGTAAAGCATAAAAATATTATTACAATTAATTTATACATTATGTTCTATAAAATATACATAAGTACACTTACTTGACCTTCGTGGTTGCTACCCCAACCCCATAACTTATTAGCTGAATCTAATGCAAGTGTAAAATCAGCTCCGCATTTAACTTCTTTTATTGATTGACAACTGTTGCATGTTGAATCAGCCATAGCAGAAGGGGGTCCTATTAATGTTATGGCTGGAATCAACCTTTCTTTAATACCAGAAACTCCAAGCTGTCCATCTAAATTTAAACCCCAAGTATATAACTGCCCAGTTGAACTTATAATTGCTGAATGATGACAACCACAGCACATCTAATTTTATAAAACCATTAAAAATAATTTATATTAAATCAACATAAATATAAAAGCTAATGGGTTATCACTAAATTTATTATTTTTTTTTTTTATTTTTTGATAAATATAAGACTTATAACAATAAATTGATAAATAACACTTTGAATGATATATTACATTTCATTTTTAAATATTAGATAATTTTTATTATAACTATATAATCGTATTATGTTTTTTAACAACTGATTGGTTTAAAACAGTATTTATACCAATTAGGCTTATAACTATAAATATATATTTTACTTGTATAATTTCCCCTTTAATGTTTGATGTATCTACAAGAGTAGGACTTAAATGTAATAATCCATCATCAGCTGTTAAAGCATCAATTTCTGTATCATCAACCTATTTCATTTAATTTAAAGTTATTAAAAATATATTTTGTTACAAATAAGAAATGTAAAAATTCATTAAATTTTAAACTTACGGTATCACCTTCATTCAATAGAAGTTGTTGTCTAGCTCTTTTTTGGGTTTGGGCATGAAATCGTAATACTTGAGGGCTACTTCCCCATGTATATAAGCGACCTACATCACTTAAGGCCAACTACAAACATTTTTAGTATTTATTAAAATAATTGTTCAATTAATTATACAAATTTTCAATTATTTAAAAGCTTAACACATTAAATCATATAAATTGACCAGAAATGAATCTTAGAGAGGGTTTAGCAGATTGAACATTTCATATGATAATTGCTTAAATGAATATTCGGGAATTTTACAAATAAAAAGTTTTTTTTTCTGTTTATTTTAACTTGGTTCTTCTATTCAATTTTTTTAAATAAAAAGTTATTTTAACTATACTGCAAACTTACATTATGAAAATAGGCAGTAGATATGCTTTTTATAGATTCCGGAAGACCATATACAGGAACTGGACTAGTAATTTTAGCAGTACTACCATTTCCCAGCTGACCAAATACACCAGAACCAAATGTAAAAACTTTACCGCAATTTGAAAGTACAATGCTATGTGCATATCCTCCAAAAGCATTTATGATTTTCTTTATGAAAAGTATTCATTTAATTTAAATTAATAATTTTAAGAGTTAATTTGTAAAAGTACCTCATTTCCTAAAAACTTTAAAATTTTTGGTTTCTCACAATCGTCAATTGATCCATGTCCCAGTTGACCATAGACACCCCATCCCCATGTCCATAACTTTCCATCTACAGATACTGCTAGAGAATGATATTGACCAGTTGATACACAAGTAATTAATTTATTTGACATACTTTCAACTAGCATTGGATATGGTGCTTGGCCCTTACGGGCAGTTCCCAGCTGGCCATATCTATTAGAACCCCAAGAAAATACCTAAATCATTAAGGGTTCACATTTAATATTTCATACTATTAAAAATATGTTTGACTCATAAATTATACATACACCATTAGTAGTAAGAGCAATAGAATGATTTCGGCCACATGCCACTTGTATCACTTCAACTCCCATGTACACAAACCAAGACACAGGATTAGGTGTAGCAGTCTTTGACATATGTGGTCCAATGCCTAAACAGCCATTTGAGGAGTGACCCCAAGTATATAACTTATGATTACGTATATGAGCAGCATGTGCCCAACCAGCGCCAAGACTAGATTTATTATCAATTTCAATTGATGATTTTTTTGAATTTTTACTATCTAGATTGGATAATAAAACTGAGTGTAAAAATCGATTTGAGTACTCAACAGAGGAAAGCTTGATTAATATCATAATATAAGTGGTAAACCATTCTTTAATTGATTGATTTAGCTAAAAAAAAAATAACAAATTTAGATAAAATAGTTTTATATTTAGAAATATTTTACTTACATTATCATGTTCAATTGAATAATCTAATTCACAACCTGGTTTAAATATTTTTCGTAAGACTGGTCGTAGAGCAGGATTTGATGGATCATACAGAGCTTTAAGTTCCTAAAGATATATTTCAAAAGTTAAATTAAACTTAATCAAATATATTTCTTAATAGTTTTTACAATTCAATACTTACTAAAACTACATCTTGAGTAACATTTAGCAAGTTTTCTTGTATAAAACTAGCATGTACTTTTGCAAATTTATTATTAGCTACTAATGCTTCAGTAAAAATTAAATCTGAAACCAAGCTCCAGAATCCTTCAGTAACTAAAGCGAAATTTTTTATTTTAAAAGTATTTATTTTTATTGTTCAACATAAAACTATTTATTTAATGTATCATTATTTATACTAATATAAATTTTTAGAAAAAATATTTATTAAATCAATGAAACTTACAGGACAAATATCGACTGTCAATTGATTTTTGATTCATTAAGCTGATTAGTACAGTTAAAACCTCATTATGTAAACCTCTATTAACAGCTAAAAATCTTAACACATTAAAGAGCCGACTCTGACCAACAATATTTACACATAAAGCTTCATCATAATTATGATTGTTTGATAATAAACACCTAAAGTTAAAAAATAGTTTTAAATTAAGATAATTTTATTTGTATAGAGCAATGTACAAAAATTTTGTTTCCAGTCTTATTTTTTCATGATTATTAGCTCGTAATAATTGTTCTGCATAACTCATAACAGCAAGATTTGAAATATGTAACCTCTCCAAAGCAGTTAAATCTTTGGGATGAGCTTGCTCAAGTAGTGCACTCACAAAAAGAATAACTTTGTCAGTGTTACCCAATGATGCTAATCTTAGAACACGTTTTAAAGGATTTGTCTGAAAATGATATAAAAAGATCATAATATAAAAAATGTAATATAAAACATAAAACCCAATTTACTTTAGATAGTTTATAAAAAAGAGTTGCTTCTTCAAATTTCCTAGCACTTAATTGCTCATCAGCAGCTTTTTCTAAAATTGGTCTAATATCCAGATCAAAAGCCTCACATAAGTCATTTGCCAAATCTAAAGCACCTTCCATTATATACTTAAGTATAATTTCCTCAGGTTTAATCCTACAGAAAAAAAGTCGATAAAAATAATAAAATATCATTATTAGAAATAATGAAAAAAATTTACCTTAAATTTAAATAATATATTGAATGATTAGTAATTATGGCGCATAAATCAGTTACGTTATCAACTTTTTTACAAATTTGCTGTTTTTCATATTTTTTCTTTTTATTTGGAGTAATTCTAATTTTGTTAACTGAAGATACGACATCCAAATTATCCTTTTTCTAATATATTAATTGTTATTATTACTTAAGGGTATAATTGTAAAACTAACACTTAGACTTAATTTTAAATACTTTGTTATTTATGCTATTTATTAAACTAATTGTAAATATAGTACTTTTTTATATTGAGTTATTTGTTCACTATAACCTATTAAATAACTCACAAAGTAACAGAATTTGGAATATTATTTTTGTATTGTGAGTTATTGAGTGGGTTGTGCTAAATCACTCTGTATGCAACTTTAAATAAATACTATAACACAATGTGATATTTAAAGACATTTCTAAACAGTTAAGAAAAATGACAAAGAATATAGGAATATTATTATAACATTTTGAGATATTCTCTGTTTAATTATTATTTATTCATGTTATAACTTTCTTACTTTGTATTCATATATTCTAAACAAATCTAAAATAATCTCTCCATTATCAAACTTGAAAGAACCAATTAAGCTTTTTTTTTTATCATCCTAAATAAAATTAAAATGTTGATAGTTAGTTTAAAAATAATTTTTTAATTCATTATTTTATTACACTATCACTCTTAAGTTGGCATAAATTTGAAAAATATACATTTAATTTGGCACCACCTTCTTCAATAGTATATATATACTGATCAGTGTATAAAAAATGTTCAATTTCTCCTTTAAGTAATTTAAATACTAATGGTTGATTGGTATTGAAACCTGATGCATGCACCTTTATATAACAATTAAACAAGTATAAAATAAAATAAAATAAATACAACACTTATAAAAAATATAAGTTGTAATTTTTATATTGAAGTTACACACCAATACATGGTTTGAAGCATAGCTAACAAATGTTTGTTTGTTCCGGTGATACTGAACCCTAGATTTAATGCTAACAACACTAGCCATTGGTTCAGGAGCAGGACCTGTACTGGGATATAAAAATCCATTTGTTATTGATTCTGATGATAAACTTCGTTTAGGGTGTTTTATATCATTTGGTGCTATAAAAAATACATAACATATCTAATGCACAATTATTTATATTGATAAATAAAATAAAAAAATTACCTTTTAGTTAATACAAAAAACTAAAAAATATATAAAAAATAAAGTTGACACTCGTACAAGACATAAAGAATAAATTTAAAAAGTATTATATAACTAATAATTCAAGAACAACATGTAATTAATAAAAAAATGTCAAAATTATTTATATTCTGCAAGTAATTGAATCGCCTATGAAAAATGAATGGTTCACCCTTATTATTAAAAAAAACTTTCCAATAATTAATCTTCTATTAGTAAATAGGTAAGTGGAAAATGATGTATTTTTGATAAATATACTAATCTAAAAAAGTGCTTCATCTTCACTACTCTGGATCCCAACTGTATTTTATTTTTTTAATAATTAAACTAATTTATTTGAAAAATTTCAAGATAGCATGTAATAAAATATTACACTACAATTTATCTTCATTACATTTATACTCATAAATAGTTCATTTTCAATTTTTATTCAGCCTGGATAACCATATTCATTACCTAAGTATAAGTTTATTAGTATAAATAGTATACTTCTATGTAATGCAAATCCAAATATTAGTATTATTAAGCATGAAACTAATTATAAAAAATTTTTTAACCAAGTTATTCCTTACTTGTGTGAATACAATTAACTATTGACTGTTGTTTTTTTGGCACAGATAATTTTTCGAGAAATAATTGTCGCAATCCTAGTAAACGTGCTCTAGTTGAATGCAAATTTGATATAACAGGAACTATTGTTTCAATGTTAAATGAATTATTTTGTCTGAAACTTTATAATTAATTTTTCAGTATCATAATCAAAGATTATATGATCAAACATATAGATTAAAATTAAACAACCCGTCATCTCCACATTTTTTCAAAAATTTATGTCCTGATAATTTTTGATAGAGAATAACTTTTACAGCATTTTTGTGTGATCACTAGACTTATCCATTTACTAGAAAATCTTGTATAATCAACTACCCCCCAAATCCTTGCAAGTCACTTTTATGAAATTTTACACATAACGCAAAAAACTGTGATATGTATAAATATTTATAAATTGTACACAATTGTTTACTTTATTATTACTCAATGTATATTATATTATATTAAAGATTAAACAATTTTAATTTAAAAATAACTTTACTTAATTTAAATAGATTATTCTTTTAAGTAGATTAGAGGTAATTTGAAGGTTTGATTAAATATTTATTAAGTTAAGCTAAATAAATGCATAGTAATAAATTTAAAATTAATATTAAATAATCAAATATTTGCAGTATAAAATTAAAATGAAAAATTAGTAACTTTATTAATAATATATCATAATCTAAGTGGTTGAATTATAAGAATATAACTAATAATAATTATTAAATAGTATATTATTAATAATATAATAATAATAATAATAATACAAGTATCAAAAAATATATTTTATAATTATAATATTATTAAAATAGATATGACTACTATAAACATTTTAGAAGTAAAATTATTTAGTTTTTGTTTATGAATAATTTTTAATAATTAAAATAACCAATTGTAATGACAGACGCATTACCGAGTAAAGAAAATTTAATTAGGACAAGTAACAACAAAGTAGTATTAGGAAGGATCATTGATAATTGTACACAAAGATATAACTCTGTGTAACACTAAGTTTAATGCAATTTGTACAATTTGATGTCTCATATATGACAAGGATTATTAATTTTTTAAATTTTAGGAGAGAAATAAGTGTATATTTAATAAATATGCACATTATATAAAATATACGCAAGGACATTCTGATAATTTTATTTTCATAAAATATTTGCAGATAAATATTGTTGCTGTTAGGGTAATTATATCTTTATTTAATTATAAATCTTAATTTCAATTTAGAACTTATTATTAATACATTATTGATAAATAACTATATTTATTATTTAAAATACATTCATACTTAGATTCTTTATCTTGTGAACTTTGTGATTTTGGATTTAGCCAACAATATCCAACATCTAAGTTTTCTAGCAATAATTTCCAACGGTCTCCATTATTACTAGATATCTATAATAAGTTATATAGATATAGAGTATATAAATATACAAAAATATATAACTGAGAAACAATATAAAAATACTTAAATACTCACAATAAGCCAAACTGTGTTTGAGCATAATTCATGTAAAATTTCTAAAGATTTTATGCAGCTTTTTATACAAGTAGATCCCAAACAGGCTCCTGTGCGAAGATTAACAAATACAATTTCACCAATATTTCCTCCAACAATACCAATATCACTAAAATAATAGTGTTGTTTACTTTTGAAAAACAAAAAGGCAATACAAGAAATTTTACCTGGAATAAGTAGGAACAATAGGTGTCCACCATGTTACTGCTGTTGGATTCAAAGAACTCGTAGGCTCTCCTGGAGCAGGTCTAATTATTTTTACTTTATTTCTACGGTCTCCTTCTTTTGGCTCAAATAGTTCACGGACAAATACCAAATAAAGGGTACAATCAAAACCTAAAAAAAACTTAAATTAATATTTGTTTACACAAATGTAAACGAAAAGCAATTAAATTTTACAAGATAAATATTAAACTAATTATATACAAATATCTTTTAAAAATCATTTAAGCTTTTTTTTTTGTTTTAAAGTATTTTACTAATTTATTAGAGAAAATTTGTTTTTCTATTATATTAAGTATTAATAACAGCCAAAATTTAAGATGAAAACTGAATTATGGTTACCAATATTACAAAAAATAAAAGTAAGAACAAAATAACTTTCATTCATTTATGATAACTCAAGAATTTTTTTACAATATTTGTAATAAACGATCTCGAGTCTAACATAAATACTTTAACTTAAATGTAAAACTGAAAAATTATTTTTTTACTATGTGTTTTTAATTTATCTGTTATTCTTTGAATGCAGATTTTATTAGATCAATATTAATTAATTATAATTATACACCAAAAGAACCCAAATTAACTCTAAATGAGATATTACTCTTAAAAAATAAATTATAATTTTTGCTCAAATGTACTCTGTTTAAAATATCAAATTATTAAACATTTTTATGAAAAATCAAAAATGGTATACCTTTTTTTTTAAATAAATTGATTTATACAAAAATTAAAACGGATGTATTTTAAAATTTCTTTTGTTATACTTTTTTCAAAATTATTTGTACTACCTAGAGATATAGATAACTTTCTTTTGCTAATAATTTGATCAAAGCGTTTTATGGTCTCAAATATGTCACAAGCCCCCTATGTTGGCCCTGAATGTACTAGGTTTTTATCATTTAGATCATATATGGTTAAAACAGTTTTAGTTGTATTGAAAACTTACTACACAAAAGCAGTTTTTCATTTGATGATTTAAATGCTAAAGATACAATTTTTTTTCCATATTCTTTAGGCCAAGGTAACCACTTAACTGATGGTGGATCATTATCTCCAAAAAGAATAATGTCATTGCTACTAAAATGTAAAAAACATATTTTAAATTAATTATTCAATTATTAAAGTTAAACAAAAATTAATTAAATAATAATTAAAAATTAAAATTGTAGAAAAATGTATTTTTTATTATATTTACCTTAATACAATTGCAAATATATTGTAAGAAGATGTTTGAAAACTAACTGTTTTGACAATATTTTCAACTTTAACTATTTGATTCAACTCAAAAATGTCTTCAAACAACAAAGACATTTTCATATAATAATTTGCTAGCTACTTATCAACATAATTAGTAAAATAATCTGACATTATTAAAAAAAAAAATACATTAAGAAATAAATATTTTCTACTCAAACGTTAATATAACTAGGAATACAATTTTTCTTCATTTAAACTTACAAATTTCTTATCCTATCATAAATCATAATTGCTTATCAAGTGATTATGTTATCACATTATATGATATATTTTAAAAATTCTCATCACGCCTATGCTTGATAAATTACGTTAATAATATAAATGATTCAAAATTTAGTAGTTTTGAAATATAATTATTCAATATAGTCAGATTGATTTAATATGCCTTAATAAATATGAGAATAACATGCTCATTAAAAATATATTTACTATCAAAATACACTCCTAAAAGCCGTTGTGATCAAGTAATTTTTAAATTGGGTAGTTAATTTATTACGTGGTTATCATTTTTGATTTTTAACTATTTTAACATTGTTGTAACTAGTTGGGTGCACCCTAGACCTTAGTAAATATTATAAACAGCTACTTAAAGCTTCATTATATTTGTTTAATATTATATTTAAAATACATTTGAGATATTTTTAATAACTTAAAATAAAAAAAAGACATCTAGAAGGAAATTTATTTCAGATAACGTGAAACCTGATTTCAACACCACGACAAAATAGAAGAGTTTTACAAATGTTATTCGCTAAATTGGTAATTTAGAACTGAGGTGATTAGTCGATTTTATTGTGATAATGAAAACAAATAAATAAAGCAGAGAACATAAAGCTTTAAAAATGAATTAAATATGCATAACTTATTCACACGTATTAATATTGAAAACCTATAAAATAAATCAAACATGCTTTGTCCTGTAAATGATATTAGTAGGGCTAAGTTATATTAAGCTGTTAATATTATAGCTGTCAAAAAACTATATATTATTCACCAACTACATTCGGTGAATAGCGTAACCAATTTTATTCTATTAAAGATTTATAAATATATCGCATTCAATAACATCCATCCATCTCTTTTTCTTCAACATTCATTTCCTTAACTGTTCTTACAACATCTGATCTTCTCTTATCATTACATAACCAAACCATGTAAGTCTAATTTCTCACATCTTATCCACGATTGACGCTACATCTATCTTTTCTAGTCACTTCACTCATCAATCTAAGCATTGTCATTCTGCTCTATTCTATTGTCAACCACCCAATACTGAACCATTTATTTTAGCTGGTCTCACATGTCTTATAAAACTTGCCTTTCAGCCTCATTGAAATTTTCTTATCGCATAACACATTGGACAATTCTCTCCACTTCACCCACCCACACCTAAATCTGTGTCTTACATCCTCGTCAATACCACCCCGTTCGTTTACATAACTGACCCTAAATACTTAAAACTTTCCACCTCTCCTATCACGTCATCGCTTATTGTCACTGATTTCCTCATTTCGCTTACCTCGTGTTCTCCTCTGTCAAACTCATAATCTATATACTCTATCTTACTCCTACTTATTCTGAATCACTTTTCATCAAGAGCTAATCTCCACACCTCTGGCCTTTGATTAATTGCTTGCCTATTTTCTTCTATTAAAACTACATTTACATACGACATTTGACAAAGTAATAATTGTTTCGAACATCTGGTACTCCAACCAACTTATACTGGCTTCACTGACAATATAGGATTTTGGATGGTTTGTTTCCACGAGTGTTACTATATATCGTTCAAGAATTAATCTAGAAATTGATTAGCAAGATCTCGTTTAGAAAACTTGCTCTTCTTGGTGTATATTAGTTAAAATGTACTATTTTAACATAGAAAACAATAATTATAAATTGAATTATGTAAAATTAATTAATATTAATATTGTGGTTATATTACTTTGATATATTTATTTTTACTTTATTCAATTAAATAAACTACTATCAAACATAACTTGTATATCAGGGATGATTAAGAAAAAACCCGTCCTCGACTCCTTTTAAACTAAAAAAATTATACCTCCTTCTTATCATTATTTTAGAAAGAGTTGTAAGGATAAATCTACAGATGGGATTCATAATTGATGATACTTATTTATTCGTAATTACGCCCCAGTTCAAACTGCAACAATTCTAAAAATTTAGATTTTTAGATTTAATATCCAAGTTTTAGTTAATTATTTAACATTTAAATTTTATAAATCCAATCATATAGATAAGCAAATTTCCAAAAGAGGACTTTTTAAAATATTATTTTATTATGAAGGTAACGTGAGCATTTTTTCTAAATCATTATTCTTAAATATTTGATTTTTTGAGTTATTGCAGTTTTAAATTGAATTGTCAAAATGTTTCTATTTCGAAACAAGTGTAGACCTATAATAAACCTTAGATATTCTCCTTTCATTTTATATTATTTTTTTGAAAATCTAACATTTAACCTGATCTCAGAGGGGATTTAAAATAGCAACTTTTTTACAAAAACTAACTTTTTTAACTTAACTTTTGAAAATAATTATCGAAGACCCCATTACTCTAGTCTCCCCTCGTGAGAAAACATTTCTTATTTATGTTAACATTATTTTACTTTGTGGTTTTATTTGTGGCTGCGATTNGAAAATAATTATCGAAGACCCTATACTCTAGTCTCCCCTCGTGAGAAAACATTTCTTATTTATGTTAACATTATTTTACTTTGTGGTTTTATTTGTGGCTGCGATTTATTTTCCTAACTCATTTGACCTACTTTTTTCAACAATACGTCAAATGATTACAATTCGTATTTAGTTGTAGATATTACCCTCAATCCATACAGACAATTAAAATCATTAATTTCTAATGTTTTTTAAGTATTTATCGTCGGATTAGATTTGATATGATAAAAGTATTCAACTACAAAAGTTAATAATTTTTACTTTATAATTTATTAATTTTTTTAATGTATTTGTGTGTGTTACCAACCAGTCTATAATATTCCAAATTTGTTGGTAACATGTTGCTATATAAATTATATCTAAAAAAAAATGATTGTTAATTTATCCTGAATTAACAATGGATTTTCACAATTGTAATCAAATTTTATAATACGCTAAATTGAGTAAATCTTTTTAACAACTTTTTTTAGTTAAAGTAAATTATTAAATTTAATTCAGTTCTACATATTTTAATTGTAGAATCTAACACCAAAAATTAATTAGAAATGATTCTTATGATTTCTATTTAAGTTATCTATTACGATAAAAATGCAAAAAAATATTCAGCTATTCTGATAAATTTACTATAAATAGTATTTATAAAACTTCCTAATCTTAACGATACAATTTTTTTAATTCTCATAAAATGTTCTATTTAATGATGTCAATTTCAAACTTGCCAATTGAGCTAAAAATTATGGTAAAATAAATAAATTTTTTTTATTATAAACATTTACAAAAATCAACTTTAAACGATTAAAAGAATAGGTTAAATATGTCATTTTCCTTATTTTTAACATATTAATAATCAAAATCAGTATTAATTTAAAGCAATTTTTTTTTTTTTATATTTAAGTACTTATATTTTTATAATAAGTAATAATATTAAAACTTAGAAGTAATAGAAAAAGTAAATACTAATATACTAAATTTAATTACTATAATTATTATGTATTCATATATTATAATTATAAATCGGGATAAAATTAAGGGAATATGAGTGATAGTTGCTTTTAAATAATCTACCAATCTCTTAAAATTAAACACTATCTACAGATTTGCATCGAAGCGTTTCTTATCACTAATGATAGTGATTTTAATCATTGTCAGATATCTATACTTGACCAAACTATGCCACATCACCACTATGCCGCGACCCCACTGTGCTACCGTTTTTGTTGTCATTTTGAAAATATTATTATTAACATATTCTCTCTATCCTCTTTAGTTTGGCATCTCCTCAATAATTTGTTAGCTTCAATATTAAGATTAAAATATCAATATGTATAGGGGGAGTTTTATTCAAGATAAATTTTCTTAGTTCTATAGCTTTTATGTTATAGTTGTAGACCCAACACATTTTTTATACTTTCAAATATTACACTTCGACCATGTTTATTCTTCTCAGCAATAATAGACAGGACCGGATTTAGGGGAGGGCTGAGTGGGCTGCAGCCCAGGGCCCCCACAAATTTGGTATAAATTGGTATCACAAATATGATAATAATTGTTATTTAATAAGTAAAAAACTATATTTCTTTGTTCCGCCCAGGGGCCACATCATACCTAAGTCCGCCCCTGATAATAGAACTTAAACTTACTACTATGTTCTAATCTATAATATTTTTAGCTCGTTCTTGTCTCTGTGTTACTTCAGCAACAATACTATTAATATCTATATTTTTGATTCGGTCCAGTAAATTTAAGTGTACTATTTTATATTTAAGTCTACAAACATCATCCCTGTATCATTTCTGGGGTTTCTGACATTTCACTTGGTAATCTAGACACAAAAATTTTAGTTTTCTATTTAAAAAATTAATACATATTAATTGACAGTTAAATTTGAACATACATTATTCAGATGAAAATATTTATACAGCTGTTATACGATCTGAAAATATTAGTCTAATCAACATCAATAGCTTGTTGATAACAAATACAGCTGTTACAATTAACCATATTGTAACATAAACTGTTGTAACATTTAAACTATGAACTAGAAATACTTACAAACTGAGGAACCGACTATTAGTAAAATAATTGTTTTTTAAAAATAATAGATGATGAATTAAAATAATAAAATTCTAATTGAAAAGATAAAAAAAGTCTTAAAATAAAAACGTATAAAATTCATTATGATCCACAATTGTAATAACAAGTAGAACTAGGAATTACATGCATTTATAAATTATATTTGAGCCACTTTAAAGAGTCCCAAATTTTTCCAACTTTACTATCTCTGTACACATCACTGCAGTTACTTGTCTGCAAAGAAATAAGATGTTAAGATGACAAAGTGCTACTTTTTAAATTTTAAATAGTTAGAATTATATTAAATTCTGCATATTTTAAAGCATTTTAAAAGCTTAAATATCTGCAGAATATACAGTATTTGATTAGAAAATCAAAATAAAGACTTCAAAACTTGAACTGCTTCAAGGATAATTTTTTAATTAATAAGTTTTATTTGAATTACTATAAAAATATAATTTAATGTAATACATCGTCTATATAAAATGTAACAGAACAATTATGTAACAATACCTTGGTTCATTTAAGGTTTTATAAAATCTATTAAAAAATTTTCTCAAAACATTTTAAACTTTTTTAAGTAAAATTAAACAAACAGTGACTTATAGCCATTAGTGTTACTATGACCATTTAACCACACTTTGGAATTATTCAAATTTTGATTCGTCATAGGTAGAATAACACGTTTTTTGTCATTTTCTCTGGCGTCATATTTAGCCTAAATTCATTAAATATTTTACTTTTTACAGGTAGATTAAATTTTAGTAGTAAAACTTACCTTATTATAGGCCATAACACCAAATAATGCTAAAGCCATCCCACAGATATTATTAAGAGTCACAGGATTTCCCAATACAATTAGAGATGCACCAACAACAAAAATTCTTTTAGATGAACTGGCAACAGCATATGTTAATGAAGTTACCATTGACATTACACTAAAGGCTAATATATTTTGAAGCCAATTTAATATACCATCAATTATCAATAAACCTAATACTTTATAGGATTCAGTATTTGTCTAAAAAAAATAAAAAAGATTTCAAATGATTTGAAACACATTTTTGGATAATAATTTACACTAAATTTTGAGACTGATATTAAATGCCAAAAATCAAAATACAACCAAACAGGAAGGAACATAAACAATGCAAGGCGACCTAGTACATGTAAAAGACGTAAATGATGAATCCCTGTATCACGAAGAACTTTTTTAGAAAATATATTCTGTAATGTATGTTGTAATGTAGCAACTAAAGCACTTAATAAACCTACTAAATCAAATGATAATTCAGTAAAAGATGCGATCGCCACTCCTATTATAATTGGCATTAATGATAAATAAACCTGAAAATATTTCTTAATAAATTTCTATGAATTTTTAATTAAAAATATATTTTTAAATTAAATTTGTTTACCTTTAGTGTTTGTTTTTCTCCCAAAATTATTCTTGACAACACTACACTAAACAATGGCATTGTGGCTTTAACTAGAAATAAATGTTCATGAATTAATAATTAAATATTTTAATTGTTTTAAATTTCCTTAGTAATAAAGAAATATTTTTTCAAAACTATTCAATAATTTTTGAAATATGAAAAAAAGATTTTATGAAGACAGGGATACTATCTAAATTGTTACATCAGAAGCAGTCCAATTGTTTAATTTTTAATCCAGGGGCCATTACCAAGTTAACTAGCAAAATTATTAAGTAAATTCAAAACTAGCTGAAAAATATGTTACTAAGTAAATGTTAAATACGATTTTATTATATAAATAATCAAAAATGTAATACCTGTATGTGTAAATGAAACAGGCACTTTCCACAAGCTTACATGTGTGAAAACAGACCCAATGAACTTTCCTAGTGCCAATGGAACTATTAATTTAAAGTAGTAAGGCCAACTAATTTCTACAAATCGTCGAACACCCCATAAATTAAAAAATGGTCCAGAATATATTGTAATTGACAATAATTGAACCATTGTAACAGTCATTGGATATGGAAATTGATTTAACAATGTTTTACCTACTACATTGCTACCTGAACTCACCAGATACCAAAAGCAACATAAGGATAGCACAGGTATAATTTCCTTCGAAGCTAACACCATTATTAAACAATTTGTTTTCAAAAATTGAGTGATATTTGATCATATTCACAAGATGAAATGTTTGTACTTTAATGGATCCATCTGCCACTGTATATGGCGAATTAAACTTATAACTAAATAATACTGAAAGTAGAATTCAATTTTTGTAACTAAAATAATAATATATCAATTAAAAATAAATTATTTGTAATAAATTAATAGTCAGGAAAAAACAAATGTTGATCTGTAAAAAAATATTTATTAATAAGAAAAACGCCTCAAAAAAAAGATAATAGATGATTGGACATGTGTTGAGTTATGATAAGATTTGCCATGTGGCAATGTCACATAAGAAGGCCTGAGGTCCAATAGTCTTAAATCGTGACGTCCAAGATATCCTCGTATATAAAGCTAATTTCACTTTAAATTTATTTGGACATACATTGAGTTACAGAAAAAATTTACAAATAAACATTACCTGTCAACTCTACTTAGCTCTTATATATGCAATTGTCCTAATAAATCAGTATAAATAAATATTTTGAGTAATATGATATTCAATATTAAATGAATTTATGAGCAGGATGATAATATTTTTGATTAAAAATATGTTTAATAACTATACATGTCAAGTTTGGAACAAATCTAGTTTATGGACCAAGCGATACTTGCAATTTTTTTTAAATGTGCATTTTTGTATACTTGACAAAAAATGGTGTATTTAAATTTAGACGCTTAAATTTCGTAATTGAAAATAACAAATATTGGCATTTTTAAAATTGTAGAGTATTTCTTGGGACTTCAAAAAAGAAAACACTTCTCTATGAAGTGTTAATTTTTTCAATAAAAACATTTAAATGGTCGAATTTGTTTTTAATATTGTGGTATACTACAAGAGCTTTAATTTTATATAGATAAAAAGTTGTCAAATGTTTCGGATCATTTTCAAAAAAGAGCTGAAAAAAATGTTTTGATAACGTTGGTGGTCTATTTCAACCTTTTCTGTACTTGCGTTTTTTCTTAAATTGCAATTATAATTATAAAGCTTTGCATATTGTATACAAATTTTATGAAATTCTGGCTTTTAAATCAAATGTTATACAGTTATAAAATGCAAAAACAAATTATGATTTTTACCATTTTCAGTCGTTGAATTTTGAGATATTTAATTAAATATATAAAGTTGATGGCGTTTTTTCAATTTTTGATGGTGATACCTTCAACTTAATTATATTCGGATTTTTTTGTATAGGTATACGTTATCAAAATTGTCCTCGTGAGAGCTGAACGTTTTAATAGATAGATGCAAAAAAAATACACATCATATCTAGCTTTGTGTCAAAGCTAAAATTACTTAAAACCAAGACAGGAAAAGTTAATTATTTGAGGTTTAGTTAGTTTAAAGAAAATCAAGTAAAGTTGTCAGTTATAAGTCAATTATTTTTAAAACTAACCCAGTCAGGTTAATTACAAAATTAAAAATAACTATTGAAAGTCCTTTTTAAATTAAGTTAACAAGTAAATATTTTAACTGACCGTATAAAAAATAAAATAATTTTCATAGAATAGAATTTGTCATTACCAGTGGTGCACCCAGAAATTACCTTTATTTTTTTGCTCACAAAATTTTTCATCTATATCCTCAATTGCCTAAATATTAATGAGCAAAAAAAGTTATCAGTACATAAAACCTGGTCGAACAAATTTTGTAGTTTCTACTTATTAATATTTATGTTTTAATTTATTTGAAAACAATAAAAAATTAAGTCTATAAGAATAATAATCATTTTTCATATTTATTCTCAAGAAAATAATTATTAAGTTTTAACATTAACGTCATTTAAATATTTTTAAACTTCTATGAGAGAATATATATAAAAAAATTGATCACTTGTGGCTACTGTTATTTAAAATTAAAACTATATTAAAAATATTAATTTAAAACTAAAAAATGTTTAATTAAAAAAAACTATGTGTTTACCATTGATAATGGTTACATTGTTCTCGTAGTATATATCACGCTTTTTAAATAATTTCTTTTTATCAATTTTAAATTTTGCCTTAAATCCAAGATACCGTTGAACATAGTATTTTAGATAGTCCAAAATTGATTTAGATTTAACAATGTATTTAACTAGTAATATTATTTTTTATTAAGTAAAAAAGTTTTTTTTTTTAAATTTATTACAATGATAGTTGAAAAAATCTTTTAATGTGTTAGTGTTCAAACTTGCTTAAAACAATACATTTTTGATCAATTATTATAAGCATATGTATATATTGCTTTATTTTAGTATAGGACACATATTCTCTTAGACAGTTACAATTATTTTAGTCTTAAAATTACAAATGGTTAATTTCCAATTAAATGAAAAGTTGATGAAAATATACTTTATTTTTATTTTGAATTCTTAATTTTATGAATTATTATGTAATCATTTTTTTCCATAAGTTAAAACTTAAACTTTTTTTTTGTCAAAATTAAAAGTTCCCAATTTTTTTAATTTGATTATTGTTTATTCCTAAGAGACAGGCCTTATAAACTTTTTACTTTTGTATGCATAAGAAATGTAATGTACCAGAGATCCTACATAGTCCTATGACAAATAATTTACTCTAAAAAACCTATTAATTCTTTTTCATCAATATTTTATATATATAGCAATGGAATTAAATATAAAACAATATTTATAACTTTTTAAATACACTTATACATTTATATTAATTATCATAAAATATAAAAATCAAAACAATTAATGGTTTACATCAAAATACATTACAAAAGGAAATTAATATATTTAGATGCACCATTTTATATTATAAATATAAAAAGATACTATACATGGCATAATGCAAGAAAGTATTAATTCAATACTGAATTATAATTTAATGATAATAAAAGAAGCAATTTATAGAAACTTATTTATAATAAAAAGTAAGAAAATGTGTTTGACAGAAGAAATTCTTCTTTGTGTAATATTAGAAACAATAGTATCTACATGATAAATGTATAAATTAAAAAATTTACCAACACAATTCAGCACAAGATAAAAATAATTAAGGAATAAATTTTTGGAACTAAACGTTTTCTTATTAAAAATAAAATAAAATAATACTAATACATTGATAAATTTCAAGATTAAGTTAGATTTTTTAATTGATAGTATAAATTTTTATTTTTTAGTTCAATTTATAGTTTTTTTTTTTTTACACAAAATAAATCTATTATTTAGTTATTGTTTATAAAAGACTGGAGAAAGTTCTATATAAAAAAATTAATCATTTTTCCTAGAATAATTTTAACTAAATTAAATTGGTTAGTTATTTTCTTTAGATAAATAAACAATAATAACTTTTAGACATGTCAGAGATTCATACATGGAATTAAGTATGGTGATAATACATTTTATTTGGGATATATAAGTGTAAAAATGAATCAGCCTTAAAAATAATCAAATCAAGTATTGATTTAATTATTTTTAGCACAATTACTATGTGCTAGTAAATAATCATGAAATTAATTTTACGTTGAAGACTGGCGATTTGATTTTGAATGACTTATTAACCACTGCAAAGTTATATCAATATTTTCTTGCTCTTTGCATGAAATAGAATAACAACATATTTCTCGATCTTGAATGGCATTTAAATTCCTGAAAACAGAAAATGAATTAAAAACATCTATTATATAATAAAATATCTATGGCCATTAATAAATTAGTGTATTTTCAACAAGAAAGTCATATGAATATTAAAAATGTCCCTCAATCCCGGCATAGTTGTAAGTATGGATATATTTTAAAAAAAAGAAGAGAAAGACAGCTTTCTTAATTTGATTATTCTGACCTTCAGTTATTTAATTATATTAATTATAAAATAGAGAATTTAATTATCATTTCAAGTCATTGGTAGCTAATCTTTTGTAGTATCATTTGACCTCAAAAATAGGTATAAATAATTGAAAAAATAAAATTGAATTAGAAAATTATAACAACACAAGAAACGTGGACATTTTACACTAAAATAATATTTATCATAAAACTTAAATTTCCATTACACCATCACAAATAGCAAAATATCAGTTAAATAAAGACAGCTGTGATAAAATTATTAATAAATTATAAATATAAATATAATTCATTAAAACGGTTAAAACAAAATTTAAAAAATCAGTAAAATTTTCTAAATTTATCTTTTTGTTAAGATATTATTCTAGTATGTATATTAACAGTGTTTGTTTATACTTTTCTTATGTAGAAATTATGTAACTCGAGACAAAAAATTAATAATTTTGGTTAGCTTTTACTTCCCATAGAAAAGAGAAATGACACCTTTTTTTTAATCGAATTGTTCCATAATGATTCAACCAAACTAATAGATTCTCATAGATATTTAATCAAATATAATATGTACAAATTAATTTAACAACATAATTTTTTAAACAATAGATTTACATTAATTTACATTTACAAAAATCAGTTTTATTAGCTAATTTTATTTTAAAATATACTTAAAATTTAATTCTTTCAATTTTTGTAATTAAAGTGCAGATTGTTGAGAAAATGCTATTATATAATATGTATACATACATTCTATCAATCAGTTCAACTTCATCAAGAGCATTAGGTAAGTCTCTTTTGTTTCCCAAAACTAAAACGGGTATTCCAACTAATTGTGGCTTATCAATTAAACTGTGGAGTTCATTTCTAGAAGCTTCTAATTTATCAGTGTCAGCAGCATCTACCATATAACTACATTTTATAAAGTTAAAAAAAAAAAGTTAATATCATTTTTGCTAAAATTTCATTAAATTTAATCCTACTTAAATCAATTTAGAATGTAAAATTTTTTATACTTACACTATGGCATTTACACCTCGGCAATAACGCTCCCACATTGACCTGAAACGTGGTTGACCTCCTATATCCCAAATTTTTATTGTTACATTATTTTTTGTAACTTTTCTCATGTTAAACCCCACTGTTGGTATCATATCTTGATTAAATTGGCCAGACTAAAAGATAATAGGAGAAGAAGTACTAAATTAGTTTTTTTTTAACAATTTAATTTTAATATTTAAACCTACTAGTCATTTGATAAAATGTTGAACTACATTTATTATTTGATATTTAACACCATAAATATAGTGTTAAGTACAATGTCCTACATTTAAACATGAGAGGCAATTATAAAAACGTTTAAACAAACTTAATGTTCATATTATTTTGTAAGATGACTGTATTGTTGTAGTAATGTAATTAAAAAATTACATAAAATATTAAAGATTTACTATAGTAATCACATAATTTTTATTAAGTGTATTACTTATGTTTCATTTTTCACAGCTGTTTAATAAAAATCAAAATTGCTATTGTTTTAGTTAATATCTAAACAATAGTTATTATAGCATTATTATCTTAGAATACTTATGTATGATATCAAACATAGATATAGATATCATATTATTTTTAAAAAATATTGTACTATATTTATAATAAATTACTCAATTAATTTAATTGTTATACAGATAGAAATTTGATTGAAATAATTAGAATTATATCAATATGCATCAACAGAAGCAATAGATTATTTCTTGATATTGATTTGTATATGATTAAGTAGAAAACATTTCAAGTGGATTATAAAAACCACACCCGATAAACCAATTCAAAATGGAAAAAATTCATAGGCATATTCTCTACAATATCATCAAATTGCCATATAAACCCTAAAATAAATATTAAATAAACATTTAAAATAAAATTTGGGTATTCAAGTAATTAATATAATTTATTTAAATAATCGTTATTTAGTAAATTTTTCAATCGGAAATACAAAGAATTATTAAAAAAAAAAGTTAGAATGCTTTTAAATATCTTTAATTACCGCAATAACATGTACAAACGTAGTTTTTCCAGAACACTGTAATCCTACAAGAGTAAGTTCCATTTCTTCTGTCCAAAATTTGCTTTTAATCCAGTCAAGTATCCGATTGATAAGAGCCATCATCTTGAACAGATTTATTTTTAAATTTCAACTTAGAAAATAAAAATACGTTTTACACAATGAGAATCCTGTATTTTTACTGTTAGGAAATAAAAGAACAATGACTACTTGTTTTAACCAATAACGTTAAATGAATGAAGTGAAGAAAAGAACTTGCTACAAAGGCACATACAACCTAATCAAATAATGGTTTTACATAACATGATTCAATACTCGTCGTAGCTATATGCTTATCTATACACAACAAACAGCTGAGAGATAATATACAGGTAAATTGTTACATTAAATATTGAGTAATTAAAAGAGATACACGACTGCTGTAGCAGTCAAATGATTTTGCTATGGAAAGGGATGAAAAATCTCTGATAAAAATCACCATGGCATCTATCCCTATACTTCATAGCTTTTATTCGTATTACTATATCAAATTGTTATTATGGTCAACACATTTGTATAAATGGATTTCTTCTTATTTAGCTTATTTCAAATATTTAATTTGCTTTAGAATAAATACCGTTGAATTCGCCAACGAATAATAACCAAGACTTAAAATTTAATCACTAAAATTTTTGAATTAATAGTTTTTTCATATTTATTATCCTCGATAACTTATTATATTTAAAGTTTTCAAAATATAAAAATAATAATATTACAATTCTACAAAAATAGTATCAATAAAGGAGAATCTACCCCGTATCACCTCTCACTTGACCACCACTGACCGATAAGCACTGAACATAAACTGACGCAGCGAATGATTTGGTTTTCCTGATGATCAACTGACGGCCTTAAGTATAAGTAGTGTTTTTTCCTTATTCTTTTGATACTGTTTTCGTCAATCAGTTTATGAGCTGAATGAGCCTCATCTGGTCTATGAGGGGGTATCAATAGCTGTTCTATTTGATATTTCCACCGTTGCAATTAATGTCTGGTGAATTTCAATGAGTTAATTACTTGTGTACATTGTGGTGCAATATTAACATTCAAGGTAATGTATGTCAATTTAGATTTATTTGAAGTATATTGGTATTTCTTATGATTAATAAGTTACCATAAAATTGTTTATTTTATTATAATTGACGTTTTTTTTTATACTTCAATTGTTGTTTCAATTATTTATTATATTTTAATTAATTATTAGGATCTTTTCTAACGGAGAGACTAGTCACCATAGACAATTGGTAATTTGGTGATAAAATAATAACAAAAATCATGTTTTTTTTAGAAATTTTAAAAGGATTGCGTCCAAACATCTCTAAACCAGAATCTGTAGTTTTATAGTAAATTTAAAAATGTTTTAACTAAAATAAAATTTAAAACAGAATTATTACTAGAATTTAAACTTGACAATAGTTAATTTTTTTAGTATTATACATTTTATAAAAGTTAATTTTTCTATATGTAATTGAACAAATTTTAAAGCCACAATTTCACAGCTCTTTAGTTTAAAACAACTTTTAGTACAATTAAAAAAATATAGAGTGAATGACATAAATGACGAAATTGTTATAAATGACATAATGACAATAACATAAATTTAATCACAGTTAATCTAGTTATATTTTATGTTTTTTACTTTCTGCAATATATTTTTTTAGAACTACTACTGTAAAAAATTTATATACAGAATGTTTAAAAAGTTTGTAAGCATCAATTTTTTGAAGCTGCTATTGATGTTTTTATTATTATTTTATTTTTAGCTTCGATGCGAAGCTGAGAAGGTATTGGTTTTACTATGATGTGTTTTTTTTTTTTTTTTGTCTGTTACCACTTTTTCTCAGCTCTTACGGAACGGATTTCTTTCAACGATACGTCAAAAGATCACAAATCGTATCTAGTCAAAGACATTACCCTCAAAAATTGAAAAAAATTCCCTCGTTCCCCGTAAATGGGGGAGATATCCAAAAAAATTACAAATTTAAAAATCTCTAATTTTCGAAATTTTTTCAATTTTTTTTACTAAAAACTGCCGTAACTTTTTCAAAAATGAACATATCATATCATATATTTTTTTTTTTATAAATGCTTGATGTCCTTACCTATCATTTGGTATATATATTTTTTTTAATTTAACCCTTTATCTGCCCACAGCGGGGGGATTTAAAATGACAACTTTTTCAAAAAAAATTAACTTTTTCAACTTAACTTTTAAAAATGTTCCGGAAGGTCTGACACTTTTATATATATCTTAAATTAAAGCTAATGTAATGTACTTTAATTTGAAAAAAAAAAAATTTGACCTCTAGACTTGTCTTCATGGTGAAAACGACTACCAAATGCTATTTTTGTGTGAAAATTCTCGATTTTATAATTTACATTTTTTACTTTATAATGCTATAACTTATTGAAAAGTGTATGGATCAACACAATTTTTTTATGAGAAATAATATTTTTTAATAATTCCTTTTTCATTCGACATACTTTATCTTAATCAAGATATTAATAAGGAACTAGCAGATCATGTAGCTTTTGGAATAATACACCAATTTTTTTTAAATTAAACACAATCTAAAGATTTGCATCGAAGCGTTTATTTTTTATAGTGATTTTAATCACTGTCAGATATCATTATACTTGATCCAACTATACCATGGCATCACTGTGCCGCGACCCCCCTGTGCTGGGTTTTTCATTTTTGAGTTTACTTGATTAATTAAATGCATCTTTTACGATTAAAATTAAAGTAAAAACGCTAATAATATACGGGTAGAAATCTACCCAAACTTAAAAAAATTAAATACAACCTTATACTTTTTTTTAAATCAACGATTAGGTAATTCTATTTTAAAAAAAAATATTTTTTAAATTTTTAAATTAGAAAAGCTGTTGTTAAAATTTTGCTGTATAAAAGAATTAAGCTTAAGTTTGGGAACACTTTTTTTCACAGTAACTAAATCCTGTTATCCATAGACATAACAATCATAAGCTGCACAATTATAGTTGTTTAGTTTTTCTAGTTTATGAGCTAGTTAATAGTGGGTTTATAGTTAAATGATCAATAATTATTGTTCAATTGACTTTGCGTCATACTATTTGTTTTAAATAAACGTAAGGGTTTAAATAAATAATACCTTTAAATAAAGGTATAAAAACAAAAGGTTCAGCATTTATAACTTGGTGCTCTGTAAGCAAAATTTTCTGAGCTGTTTTATTTTTCACAGATTAATTTTTTTTTATACTGTAATATTTAAATGATGTACATACTACTTGTTTTCTAATTTTCCACTAAAAAAGAAGTATTTGTAGCACTTTTTATTTTTAGTTTTTAAATACGTATTTTTAAGAAGCCTCCATAAAAAATTTACATGTGTATGATTACTAATAAGTTGAATATCTTGACTCTTTAATTTTTCACCATCCAGCTACTATTCCGTTGTGATGAAATTTCGTCCAGCTAAATGTTATGTCTTATAATATTACATTGTGTGTACAAAATTTTATATTTTTAGCATATTGAAAGGTTTATCAAATAAAAACAAAATACGCTTATTAACCAAAATACATTATCATATATTATTGATGTCATTATTCTACCACGGCACCACTGTGCCGCGACCCCTCTGTGCTGAGTTTTTTTAATTGATTTTTTTCATTATTTTGTACAAGTGTCTTTTAATACACATTATTGAATCTAAACATAAAATTAACAATAATAAATTATGAATTTAGGCTCTTTGGCTCAATTATAATTAATAAATTCGACAATTGAAAGAGTTAGATATATTTATTTTAATAATGTATATAGAATTTTGATTCACACGTTCTCGTCCAAATAAAGAACCTCATAACGATTTGTATTTATTAACTCAATTGTAAAAGTCTAGTGAAATTAATAAGATTATTAGCAATGTAGAAATTGTAAGCATTTTCGGGTCATTTATGGTAACTTTATAACAGGCGTATCATTAAACCTTAATGGTTGAAAAAATCCAAATAACATATATAAATGGAATTAATAAAAGAAAGCATCGGGATTCATTATTTTGCTACAGAATATACAAGAAAAATTAATTTATTTGAAAAACTCTAATTAACATTATACACTAGTGTGGTCCTTATTTATACTTTGTGATTTTTTTTTTTTAACAAATTTGATGTCAAGTGATCTAATTTTTTTTTTAGCACACAGAAAATATTTGTAATAGCTCAAAACCCAACCACTTCACGTGCCTCAAAGGGGTTGAAAATTATTAAAAAGATATAGGAATTTAGTTTTTTGTGTATATCTTTTAAATAGTTATACATAGAAAAAATTCCACAGAGTTAATAATGCAATAAACATTAATGTAAAGAAACAAGGTCTTAACGAATTTTTTGTAACATTGATTGTTCAACGTCTAACTTATAAAAATTGTTTAATTTTATTTTTCGTGAAAACAGAATTTTTTGGTCTTTAACTTTTATCTCTATAAATATTGCAAATACAAAAATATTACATCAAAGCAAATATTTTTAAAAACTTAGGTTTAAAAAAAAATAATAAGGACTGCCAGCTTGTTAAAAGGTGAGTAACAAAAGGGAGGATTTTTACACATTTTAGAAAATCAACGACAATAAAATTTAATGTGCATAATAAAAGTTAAATTTAATGAACATCTTTCACAATACAGTGTTAGGTAAGCATTCATTATACCCTCGATTGTTAGAATATGTCAACTAGTCACTTTTTAAAGTATTTTTTAGGACTATTAGTTGTATAATATAACTAGGTAATAATTAATTTTTCTTCTTTTACAAATAAAAATTTATTTACTGGCTAAATTTTATACTATAATGAGACTGTTTGTAACAAACAATTTTATTATTCCATTAAATTTGCTCAGAAGACTACGATTGAAAATATATGAAATAAGAAATATGAAGAATATTAAAAAAAAATTACAGTCAATTCATCCATTTGAATTCAAAATTATAGCGACATTAATTGAAATAATTGCTCGTTATTTCAATCGTTATAAACATTTCATACCATTTAACTATAATAACGGAAATAATTGTAACATGGGAAATTTGCTAAAGGATATGTATAAAATGTCAAAACTTGACGAACTGTTCGATTTTAAAGAAATCAACATACCAATTGCCAATTTTTTCGAAAACGTGGTTTCTTGGAATATAAATAAAAAAATATCTTTGCACACCATATCTGAACAGGTCGAGTTACCAGTAATTAGATTTTTAACTCTAAAAGACAATCTTTATGTGTGGCCAAACTCTTGTTCGTTAGCTATTTTTCAAATAGGAGAACCTACATGTCCATTAAAGGAAT